GGTCCTGAAAGTTGTGCTGATGTTAAAAGGGACCGAGCAGGGAGCCCTAACCCGGAGGGCAGTCCTTAGGGAAGCAGGAGAATAGGAGTGTCTGTAGTGAGTCCCGGCCCTGGGTGCCCACTGGAGCCCACTCCGTCTCAGATGGAGGTGCTCTCTGGGGTCTGGAAGTAACATGACACCTTGTAGGCCAGACTGTCAGCTTCCTTGTAACCAGCTATGCTTATATCAGTGTGGCATCAATTTGGAACATTCCAGACTTGCTGTAGGAGAGTGAGGAAAGCTGGTGGGATGTGTTTGGAACGTGGCATTCTGGGGGAGCCAGCTGCCATGGCTGGGAAACAGTAGCAGTGAGAATTTCCAAGGAAAGAGCATCTTGGGATGGTTGGAAGTCTGTCCACCAACTGTCTTGGCAGTTGTAAGTGTTCCTTTCATGAGGAAGCCAGAGATTTCCTCCCCCCACCGAGCACCAGCGAAGGGATTGGTATTACGGACCAGGTAGGATTTGGTGAACTATTTTATGCATCTGTTTACCATTGATTTGTTCTTTTTTTTTCTTAAGTACATGTATTAAGCATCTCCTGAATGCCAGGCACTGAGGAAATAGAGAGACACAGGCCCTGCTCCCCAGAGTTCAGTGGGTCATGGTGTGGAAGTTCCCCAGGGCCACTGTCCCCCCATTTGTCCTCTCTTACAAGCACAGCTCTGAGGCTCTGCAGAGAAGCACACCACCGTTCCGATGCAGCAGGAATCCCTTACATATCAGTTCTTAAACTCAAGTCTGCATCAGAATCCTCTGGAAGATTTGTTAAAACAGGAGTGTTGGCCCCACCCCCAGAGTTTCTGATGGAGCAGGTTGAAAGTGGGGCCTGACAATATGCACCTCAAATAAATTTCCAGGTGTTGGTGAAGCAGGGACCACACTCTGAGAACCAGTGACATACATTGCTATGGAAATCTTTTTAAAGACACCTTCACAATGCACATGGCAGTCACATCCTTATGAGACCTTGGGCCCCGATGATACTCCTTATCTTTTACTAAGGAGAAAAATCTAAGGACAGGGAAGTTCCATGTCCTTCCTACTATTTGTAGTAGTGACGCTGTTTGGGGTTCAGGTCTTCAGTGGCTGCCTCCTTTACTCCAGTGTGAATTTCAGGAGGGCAGAGGTCATGCACATATTGTTCACTGTTTCCAGAGTATCTAAGACAATAGGTGCTCAATGCGTATTTTTAAAATGAACAAACAAGGGATTCCTAACATTGCAGGGCTAGCTAATAGCAGAATTGGGACCAGGTCCCAGATCCCCTGACTTCTGGAAGCACTCTTTCCCCTGGCGCCCCTTCTCTTGTCCTCCAGGCTCCAGAGCAGGACCCAGAGCCCCTCGGGCCCAGGAGGCAGGAGCAGGGAGAGCTGGCACAGCTGGGTCCAGTGGGTCCAAGGATCTATACCCCTTAGCCCTGGTCTGGTGCCAGCTGCAGCCCAGAGGGATGTCCCTATTCAGTCCCTTATCTGGAGTGGGAAGGACTTCTTTCAGAATGTGCCTCCCCTGCCTCTTTGGTTGCCTTCTGTCTCTGTACTTCCATTTCCAAATCTGTCAAATGAAGGTAGTAACACCCTGCCTTGTGACGGTGCTGTGAGGATTACATGAGTTACCGTAGCCAGCAGCTAACGCTTACAGCACTTACTGTGCGCTGGATATTGTCCCAGTGATTTGCACAGATGATCTCATCTAGTCTCCACAGCAAGCCTGTTATTATCCCCATGTTACAGGTGAGGAAACTGAGGCACAGAAGAGACTAAGTGCTTGACCAAAGTCACACACACACACAGCTAGAAAGTGGGGGAGCCATTTAAGGAGGTAAATCCAGAAGGATGTAAGTTTCAGAACATGCTCTTGGCTGGAGAACACATTGTGCATGGACTTGCTCAATAAAATGTCACCTCTTATTTTCTTAGGTGGCACTTCCATATGAGCCCCGAGGCTTCCCCTCTTTCAATGCCAGGGGACAGCCCATTCTCTCTTCTACCCTATCCCACTTTGCTACCTTTTCTGCAGCCAGCGTTGGGGAAATTCCCAGGGAGAACAATGGGGGAATTCCTGGGATCATGGAGAGGAATTCCTAAGGGCTGGGAAAGGTTTCACCTTATACTTGGCATTTTTCTGAATAAGGTAGATGCTTCCAGCTTGGTCCAGGGAACAGAATCTTCCAGAAGCAGAAGCAGGGGTAGAAGGGCACCTTTGGGAGCATGTTGGGTGGTGGGGTGAAATGGTAGGCCCGTCCCTATTCACCCCCCTGGTGTAGGCCCCGGAGACCCACCCTGTCAGGCTTTCAGGCTGACCCCTAGACAGTCACAGGAAGGCTGTGGGCAGGGCTTGGGCAGGGCAGGATGGAGGGCCACCTGACCAAGAATGCCGTCCCTGTCATCCGTCACTGAACATCTGGTTCCACCTAGTGGCCTTTGCTGTTCCGACTGTCCTAACAGAACCAGGGAAGCTCAGGACTCGCAGAGGCCGCGCAGGCTGGGGCTCAGAGGTTTATTGAGCACGAACATTGTGCAGGTCACGCTCTGTGGCCCAGCAGGGGCATGTTCGTGAGTACAAAGAGTGAGCAGAGGACTAGCTTTTACTCGGCCTGCCACACGCGGGTCTACACTGTGTCGGCAGGTGTCTGGCTATGGAGCCCTGGTTATCAGTGCCTGCCCTTGGCATTTAACTTGCCCGGACTTCAGTTTCCCCTTCTGAAAAATAAGAAGGTTGGTGTGGATCATCTCTAGGGTCTCTTCCCATGTTAAAATTCTGCAGGCTGCACTGAGGAGTGGTAAGAGTTTCAGCTCTGGAGCTGGACAAACCTGAGCTTGGACCCCAGCTGGTGTTCCCTAGGTGTGTGTCCTTGGGAAACTTCCTGTACCTCTCTGAGCCTGGGGGTAGCAATGTGAAATTGACGATGAGAATTATACCAAGTATTTAACACAGGGCCTGGCAGTTGGTGTGTGCTTGATAAACTGTGGTGATGTTGTGGATGACATGACTCTGTTTACCCAGAGAGCCATGCCACAAGGCACAAGGTGGGGAGCGTCAGGGTCAGCAGGCTAAGTGCCATGGGGATTTGGAGGTGGGAGGGATCTGACTCGCTCGGGGGCAGGTCCAGGGGTCAGTTCTCGGTGGGATTCAGGGAGCACAGTCTTGGGGTCGGATCACGTGATGCTCAGGATGAGGTCTGGGCACCCCTGCCTCTCCCATAGCCCCTTTCCACCCTCTCCTGAGGACGTGGGATGCGGACTAGGAGTCCTGGCCTCTCCTCCCCTCCCTGGGGAGCAGGTTGGTGGGGGCAGTGGTGGGGACAGGAGAGTCCTTGACTGATCTGACTTCCAGGTGGACCTCTGAACCCCAGACAAGTCCAGTCCTGCAAGCACCTCTGTCTCCTGTCCCCACGAAAAGAATAAAAAAAGACCCCTCTGTGTGCCTTGCTGTCCCTGGCAGCCTGACCTGCCTCCTGCATGCCCCGCGCCCCCAGCATTCACCTTCCTCACGAGCTGTGAGCCGTGGAGAATTCTCTCCTACTTCTCTACCTAACCACCCGTACCATTAGGGTTCAGTGTATGCAGAGCTGAGGTTTTCTCCCGCCCCCACACGAGGTTCCCCTCATCCCCCTGCACAGGTGAGCAGTCCTTCCCCCGCCTGGGGGTCAGCCTTGACCGTCCCTCCCAAGTGCGGCCGAAGCCCTGCCCTGTTATCGGTTTCCCAGCACTCCGTGCTCCTCGCTTCCACCAGACCGCTGCCTCCCAAGTACCCCTGCCCCTGGATCCCCCTGCTCCAGGCTGCCACCACCCCAGCTGCCCATCAGGGAGCCGCATGCTCAAGTCACTGCTGCTCTGCCAACAATCTGCAGTGCTCCACTGCCTTCAGGATGAAGGGGAAACTCCTTGGCCCGGAATGTCCTTCCTGGGCCCTCCCCAGCTGGCCTCTCCAGGCTCCTTGCCCCAAACCCGCACACCCTGCCCTGTACTGCCCTGCATCCCGGCCTTCTTGAGGTCATGGCCATCTTGCAGATGCACCGCCCACTGCCCCGCCTCTGGGCCTTTGCACTTAACATGGCTTCCTCCATGAGCCCTTCCTTCCCCACTGTCTGTCTGGCAAACACACAGGCATTTCTCAGGATCCATTCAAATGGCACTTCGTCTGGGAGGCCGTCTAGATCTCTCCAGGTTTCTTCAGGCCCCCTTTGCCTTTCAGACCTTCTATTATACTGAATTGTAATTATTTAATCACAGATTTATTTCCCCCTCTGGGATGAAGCCCTGTGGTGGCAGGTCTCTTACACTGTTGTGTACGCTGCGTCTAAAACAGAGCAGGTGCTCAGTAATGCTTTGTTACTGAAATGTCTGTGCATCTCGGGTCTGGATCAGAATGTGGTGTTTTGAATTTTTGAGTGCAGCTGCTTTCTGAGGGCAGTTTGTGTGGCTGGGAGGTGAGCAGATAGACTCAGGCCTGCTGAGAACAGCATCGAGTTAAAAGGCCTGGAGTCGGACCCAGGCCTCAGGCCCAGCTCTGCCATGCATCAGCTGTGGGGTTAGTGACGATCTCCGCAAGCCTCAGATTTCTAACTGAAAAATGGTAATAATATAATAATAGCACTTAACCCACAGAGCTATTGTGGGGCTTGTTTGAGCAAGTGGCTGAGTGCTGGGGGCTAGTAAGTGTTCAGTACACGACAGCGACAGTTAACTGTCCAGTTTTGAAAGCAGCTGCCTTAGAATTATCTCCTGAGGGGGAGCTGGGAGACCTGCACCTCAGTTCCCGTTCTGTCCCTACTCACTGTGGGGCCCCTGGCAAGCCATATTCCCTCTCTGGCTTCAGCAGCTTGGAGTGTGGGCTTCTGGGGCCCTGCAGTTTGGACATGCCGTTTCCTGTGGGGCCTGGGAAGGGTTGTCCTAGAGACAAGATGCGTGAGGGCAGCAAAGAGTGCCCCGTGTCCAGCAGAGGGCCTTGCCCAGCCATGGCCGGCAGAGTGGGAGGGAGCAGCTCGAGTCCTCTGGGGCAGGCTGTTGATGCCAGACGCCTGACTGGGCGGACCCACCGGCCAGCTGCCTCTCTCGAGTCAGGCCAGTGCTTGGGTCCCCTGCACCCACCCGCTGTCCGTGGGGCAGCCGCCTCCTGCTCGTCCGGCCATGCGGTGGCTATGGCCGATAGCTGTCTCTTTCGCCGTGGTGTCGGCTGTGGGGCTGAGCAGAGTCTCTGGGGGTGCTCCCCTGCACCCGGGCAGGCACAGAGCCGAGGTCCAGGAGCAGCAGAGCCGGCCCAGGAGAGGCACTGAGGATGAGGAGGCCAGGGGGGTGCAGCAGTATGTGCCCGAGGAGTGGGCTGAGTACCCCCGGCCCATCCGCCCTTCTGGCGTGCAGCCCACCAAGCCCTTGGTGGCCGCCAGCCCCGACCCAGACAAGGATGGGGGGACCTCAGGCAGCAGGCAGGAGGCTCGGGGCAATCTGACGGGGACGTCGGGTCGGAGGCTGCAGATTCAGAACCCCCTGTACCCAGTGACCGAGAGCTCGTACAGGGCCTATGCCATCATGCTCCTGGCCCTGCTGGTGTTTGCAGTGGGCCTCGTGGGCAACCTGTCCATCATGTGCATCGTGTGGCACAGCTACCACCTGAAGAGCGCCTGGAACTCTATCCTCGCAAGCCTGGCCCTCTGGGACTTCCTGGTCCTCTTTTTCTGCCTCCCTGTCGTCATCTTCAATGAGATCACCAAGCAGAGGTTGCTGGGTGACATTTCTTGCCGGGCTGTACCTTTCATGGAGGTGAGTGTGTGCCCTGCCAGAGCTCAGCTGGGGGAACTGCCATCCAACAGGCTGTTGGAAGTGGGGTCTGTGGGTGTGTGGGACCCCAGAGGTCTGGAGCTCTGTTTTGCTGGTTCTCTTCCAAACTGGGCAAGAAGATAAATACAGCATTGATTCCTGGGAGCTGCCAGGCAGACTAATGGGCCAGGTGTGCAGGGCCTCAGGCTGCAGCCCCAGAGCGTCATACCTCTCCCCCTGCACCTCCGGCTGTCCCACCCCTCCCTTGGCCTTCCTCCAGCCTTCCACCTGGGCAACCGGCTGTCCTTGGGGCGTCTCCTTTTCCTCCCTTGGTGCCCCCCGCCACAGGCCTGCTCCCACAGCTCCCTTCTTTACTCCTCAGTATCCTGCCTCCCAAAGGGGCTCCGATGGGAGACCCAACCTGCTACAAATCCCCCAGGTCAGGTCAGTGTCCCGTCGCATGATGCCGACACCAGAGGGAGGGATGGACCCTCCCTTACTGTGACTGTCATCTCTGTGGCCGCCGCCATCAGCAACCTCCTCAGTCATTTCTGAAAAGGAAGACCTGGTTCTGGGAGCTGGGGCTTGGGGGTTTTTGGTGTCAGCTCTGTCACTTACATACTGGATGTCACAGGGCAGGCCTAGTTCCCCTCCAGTTTCCTTATTCTCTAGCTGGTGGGTAGACCAGATGGCCCTTCCAGCTGGGCTTCTCTCCAATTCTCAGGTTTTGTTCTCTCCTCACCTTAGGAACTTCCACATTAAGATGAGCACATGGGTGTGGATAACATAGAGACAGCTTAATCAAAGTACTGCAAAAATACACCCATATATGTGCATTTATGAGAGACGCAGCAAGGCCACTGTGTCTATACAGGAATACAAAATAAGCAAGCAGCGTTTTGCATTTTGGCTATGTGGGGGTTAATAATGAGGACTGGAGTGACTGTGGCCTCCTGCGAAGGCTGCTGTCTTTCTTGTGAGAGGGTGATGTTGTGTGACATGGGTGATCTGGCTGGGTGAGAAGAAATCAGGGTCAGGCATCTGGACATGGGTCCTGCTCCCAGCTCTGCCCCAGGTCCCTGTGTTAGTGATGGGCAGACGCCCTGAGGCCCAGCAGTTGGATTCTTGTCCTTCCCAGCCCAGGCAGACCATGTGATGGTGTCCAAAGGTACTCAAACCCGAAGGAAGGCCTACACCTGGGAATAGCCTGTGCCTCTTTTACCATCTGGAGGTCACAGCCAGGTGAGCTGTGAAAGGTCAGACACAAGGACTCTGGACCTGGACAGACCAGATCAGAAACCAGGCTTTGCCCTTCATTAGCTGAGTGACCTTGCTAAGTTACATGACCTGCGTCAACCTCAATTTCCTCATCTGGAAATTGGGGGCAATAGCAGTAACAATAGCTCTCTGAGTGAATTCCTGATGGGTAATGTCTATAAAGTGCTTAGAATGAAAATAACTCAATAAATAAGTGTTTTTTTTTACTGGGGAGTGGTCTAAGAGTAGGGGGCAGGGAGGGCAGATGCAGGTGAACCCTGCTTTTCTCGGCATACCCAGTACCTCGGCTCTGGCCCAGATCTTCCTCGGCCACCCCTCCGCGCCTCCTGCAGGGGAGGGGGGCCATGAGCTGACAGAGCCTTGGGTCCCCCTGGGCTGGTGTTGGGGTGGGAGGTGAGGGTCCTAATGCACCTCCTCAGAGCAATCAGGGCGGCCCCAGGAGGAAGCGGGGGAAGGCAGCGTGAAATAAAACGTGAGATGCAGGGAAAGGAGAGGTGGCGTTCTGCCCCAGCCTGGAGGCTGCTCTTCTGCCCCGGGGGCTCCCCTGCCAAGCGAGGGGTGGGCCTCACGAAGGGACACTCGGTGGCAGCGCTAATAACGCGGCTGTGTTCCCCCTGCCAGAAGAGGGAAGAAGTTGGACGGAAAGCGGGGCTGAGCACAGGCCCCGAGCGTGGCCGGACGCCATCCAGCAGCTCGGAGGGCTCGCCGCCCTTCTCCTCTCCAGCACTTTCTCCCCCTGCTGCTCTGGCTTCTTTCCCTCGGCTCCCAGGGCGCCCTTCCTGGGCGCTACTGAACAGCACGCGGGGAGAGGTGCGGGTCAGCTTGGAGGGGGCTGCCTCTCCTGACAGGGCGGGGAGGGCAACAGTGTGAGGGAGCGTGTGTGTAATAAGAGAGTGTGTGTGAGTGTGTATATGTACGTGACAGTGTGTGTGTGTGTGCATGAGTGAGTGAGAGGATGTGAATAAGCATGAGAGTGTGTGAGTGTGTAAGTGCGGTAGTGTGTGTGTGTGAGAGTGTGTATGGGTGTGAGGGTGTGAGAGCCGTGTTCCACAAGACCGTTCACTCACTGCACACGCTGTGGGAGGACCTGCAGAGACCCAGAACTGTGTGCCTCCGACTCAATTCTGCCTTAGAGGCGGTTTCCCAGTCTCGGGGGTGCGCGGTGTGTGGGCCCAGCTTCTCATCCCCTCACCCAGGAGGCCAAGGGCAGAGGCACTGCCGCGGCCCTCCTGCTGTCTGACCCCATTCTCCTCTGTGAGGCGGGTGGTCCCGAGGACGCGACGATGTCTGTGCACGCCTGGCGAGAGGATGCTCACTGAAGGGCAGTCCTCACTGCCGTCCCTGTCCCTGCTTCCGCTCAGCTGCTGCTCTGACTAGGCCAGAATCTTCCTTTGCCCGGGCTTGACCTGCGCTTTTCTCTTCCTGCACGCCTTGGCCCACAGGTCTCCTCTCTGGGGGTCACCACCTTCAGCCTCTGTGCCCTGGGCATCGACCGCTTCCACGTGGCCACCAGCACCCTGCCCAAGGTGAGGCCCATCGAGCGGTGCCAGTCCATCCTGGCCAAGCTGGCCGTCATCTGGGTGGGCTCCATGATGCTGGCTGTGCCCGAGCTCTTGCTGTGGCAGCTGGTGCAGGAGCCCGCCCCCACCACGGGCACGGTGGACTCATGCATCATGAAGCCCTCGGCCAGCCTGCCCGAGGCCCTGTACTCGCTGGTGATGACCTACCAGAACGCCCGCATGTGGTGGTCCTTTGGCTGTTACTTCTGCCTGCCCATCCTCTTCACAGTCACCTGCCAGCTGGTGACGTGGCGGGTGCGGGGCCCGCCGGGGAGGAAGCCAGAGTGCCGGGCCGGCAAGCACGAGCCGTGTGAGAGCCAGCTCAACAGCACGGTGGCGGGCCTCACCGCGGTCTACGCCCTCTGCACCCTCCCCGAGAACGTGTGCAGCATCGTGGTGGCCTACCTGTCCGCGGAGCTGAGCCGCCAGACCCTAGAGCTCCTGGGCCTCATCACCCAGCTCTCCGCCTTCCTCAAGGGCGCCACCTCCCCCGTGCTCCTCCTGTGCGTCTGCAGGCCGCTGGGCCGGGCCTTCCTGGCCTGCTGCTGCTGCTGCTGGGAGTGTGGCCCGGCCTCTGAGCCCACGGCTGCCCCCGGCCCGGACAGCAAGCTCAAGACCGAGATGGCCTCCCGCACCTACTTCCACAGGCCCAGGGAGTCACCCCCGCTCCTGCCCCTGGGCACGCCTTGCTGAGGCTAGGCCCCAGAGGGAGGCACGGAGCCAGGCAAGGTGTGCGGGACGCGGTGGGGAGCCGCCCCCGCTTGCGTCCAGGGTCACTGTCCCCACAGGTCTTGCTGGCTAGAGGGGGCCGTGGCTCCTTGTGCTGCGGGTGGGGCGTGCCAAAGCCCGCTCTCCCAGCAGGGCCTCCCCTGTCCTCAGGGGCCTTCCTGCCCTGTCCTCTCAGCTGGTGGGTGGGATTCTTCCAGGCCTTTGGAACTGCCTAGGAACACTCAGTCCTGCTGGCCGGGAGCCAGACTTTCACCTGGCTCCAGCCCTGCTTCCGTTGTCTCGGACCTGACGATATCTCTTCTCACCCCCGTAACCCCCATCCTGGAGCAGGGGGCTCTTCGGGGGCCAGCCCGGCTTGGCTCTTCCGGGGACTGGGTCCGTCCCAGGCCCAGATGCTCCTCCTCTCGGCGCCTTCTCTTCCCTGGGAGTATCTTTCTCCCTTCTTCCTCCTTTGAGGTACCCAGGTTGCCCTGTCTGGGCCCCCTTGTTAGTGACCCCCTGTAGAAGGCCCGTCTTGAAAAACAATAAATTAGGTAGCACTCCCTCCATGGACCCTAGACTTTCTTGTGCCACATCCTGGCTGAACCCCTGCACCTGGGCCTTCCCGAGGACAGGCAGTGCCCCGGGGGAGATTCCTCCTGCCCTCCTTTGCCCTTTCTGGCCTGTGACTGGTGTCCTGCCCAGCCCTGTGGCCCTACATACAGTTTTTGAGGGACAGAGTGGATAGAGGGCCTAGGGGTTGGGTGCGAGGTGTCATCCAGGCCTGAGCCCAGCCGTCCTGGCTGCCAGCGGACCTCCTTTGAGCCCCCACCTCTGCTCCTCCCTCTCCACAAAGCCCCCGTTTGTAGAGAAGAAGCCAGCAGCCTGCCCTCTGAGGGCCCGGGAGCTCCAGCCCCGGCGGTTCTGAGAAGCCGGCCTTGTTCCGCTTCTCAGCTCAGGCCGTTGTGCCTGTGGCCGACCCAGCTGCCTGCCCCCAGCCTGCCCCCACCCACCCCAGCCCCTTCCTGGCTCCTCCTGCTGGGCCTGCACCGGTGTTCCACTTCCTCGGCGTCCCCTCTGGGCCCTTCCGACGGCCCGTTGGCCTTGTTTGGGCCAGGGAAGCTGGCACTCAGTCAATCAGAAGGGACCCCTCAGCCCAGGCCGCAAATCAGTCCCTGGCCAGATAAGCCTGGCTTTCTTCAGAACTATCCTTCCGGGTGGGAAGCGCTGCCCTGGGTCCCACAGCAGTTTCTGCCTGCCAGGCCTGCGGGGTCCCAGGGCTCAGAAGGGCCCCCAAGGCAGGGGTTGCCGAGTGCCCAGACTCCATTCTCCTCTGTCCACCCCTCCCATACCCCTCGGCCCTGGCCAGCCCTGTGCCCAAGCCTCCTTCCCCCCTCTCTTGGGATCTTAACAGCCTTGTTCTCTCTCCCTGGCACCCACCTCCAGGACGGGTGACGCCAAGGGCGAGGGAGGCCGTTGCTAGGTGACAGTGCCACCATGTGCACACTCTCTGTGCTGGGGAAGGACACCCACCAGTTTCTTGGCGGACCTGTTGCCACAGTGACTGAAGCCCCCCACTTGGTACAAACTTAGCAGGGGAGCAGTTTGGAGAGGGGGCCAAAGGCAGGCTTGCTGCGCTGAGTTACCAGGGCCACTTCCTTACACATTGCACCCCAACTCCCTCTCTGCCAGTACCATGCCCCCCGCCACCCCATAGTTCCTAGGAGATGCAGGAAGTCGGGCGGGGTGAGCCGAGGCACAGTTGGGACCCGGAGAGAGCCTAGGACAGAAGGCAGAGGGCAGCGGAGGGGGGCACGGCAGTATCCGTGGGGGCCTGCCCCCGTCTGTGGGTGCCCCCTGCCTCTCCCTCCTGCTGGCTGGCCAGCTCAACCGAAAGGGAGAGACAGAGGCTCCAAGGCCCTGCCACTGCCTCCCATGCCCGCCAACGTGAAAGGCTTACAGGATTAGTCAGCAGGCCAGCCAGGCCTTGGGAAAGAGCCACTGTCTCTCCAGCCTGGGCCAGCTGGGCGAACAATGTGGCATTTATTGCTCAGGGATCCCAGGCTTTGGGTGGGGGCCCGGTTGGCACAGTGGTGGGCGGTGGACTAGAGCTGGGCTGCTGGGAGGCTGCATGGACATTCTCACTCCCACTTAGGGCAGATTTAGGAGGCCAGCCCTCAGACCTGACGCCAGCTGGGGAGTTGGTGGGGGAAGCACACATACTTTGCGGTGAGAATCGCCTTCCTCCTGTCTGCCTGGGTGCAGTCACAGAACCTCCTGCCCCGTCGGTAAACAGGACAGTCCCCGACAGGTGGCTGGTCTTCTGTGAGGCGGGCGTGTAAAGCAGCTGGATGGCCCTTGCCTCCCTCCCTTTCCATTGGGAATTTGATTCTCCAGGTCACACCCGGAACAGGCCTGGCCCGGGGACTCTCAAACTCACCTAGGTTTGGCAGCTCAAGGGGCCCTAAACATGACGCATTTCACGTGCGCACGACCTGCTCCCTGCGCCACTCTCACCCAACTAAGTTGCATCAGAGCCCCTGCTGCATGCAGACACTGGCAGGATGATGCCATAGTGCCACTTGCAGTCAGCTCACCCTGTCTCATCTCAAAGCTTGCCTGTCATGGGAGGCTGCAGGGCCTGAGAAAGGCGGGTCAACCCCACAGCCCCCGTCCAGCTCCTCGGCTGAGCGACTGTTGGCCCTCCCGCACCCCCAGGCCAGGGGCAGCTGCTGCCACTTGTGCAGCTGGGAGAGCATGGGGACATCCTGACCCCAGATGCCACATCAAATTGGGGGCTCACTTCTCATTCCTGAGTTGGAAGTCACCCTAAAATCATTTAGCTCCATTTGCTAAATTCATTCACATTCCTTCCTCAAACTCCCCAGGCCTCCGGGACAGGTCACGTCTCCCTGCTAGCTCTTAGGGTCAGGTAGGCCGAAGTGCAGAGCTAACAGGGACGGCTCAGGGCTCAGGAGGCCGAGGACCCAGCGCCCTGGCACCCCTGCTCCCAGAGTGAAGGGGAGCACGGCTCCTTCCTGCAGAGGCTGGGCAGCAGGGGTCCTCTTCCAGGGAGCAGGGACCCTGAGGAGGGAAGCAGGACAGAGGCGGGACTTACTCTAAAACTGGGTCAAGATGGCCTCGGATTTGGGTAAGCTGGGCCCGCACGGCTCGGAGGCAGCATCTGTGGGCAGTGAGGAGGGGGCCCAGCTCTGAAGGTTGGGGTGGGAGGGGGAGAACATGGGAACTGGGCAGAGAAGTGAGGACACTGCCGCTCCCCGGAAATCAGCAGCCCTAACACCAACAGAGAAGCACGAAGGACGGGTTGGCCATCAGGCTCTGACAGCCCAGCATTGCCCCAGGAGGACAATTAATTGGTTCTAGAGTGGCAAGGGACAGAGTGGTGGCCTGCGCCCAACTCTGGCTGCAGGTGGACAGACCAAAGGAAAACAGAGGCTCTGTCCCACACCCCGGGAGGAGCCCACGCTCCTGCCACAGTAACCCAGGTTTCAGGCAGCTCCCTGAAGACCCTGAGCTCCACTGGGCCCCTGCAAGCTCAAAGCTGGAACCACATGAAAAGTCGACGAGAGGCGGCGGCCAGGCGAGGGCCCAGGCACGTGTGCAGAGGCTGCTCGGTGCAGTGCTGCCGTGTGCCCGTGCGAGCGCGCGCCTCCCCCGTGGCTGTTTGCGCCCAGCGTGTGGGGTGTGCTGGTGTCCCCAGGCCTGCTGCTCATTCCGTGCTGTCTACGGAAAACTAATCTGCACCATACACGCCCCCAACACAAAATTGGTCATTTATTCTTACTTGTTGTTAGGAGGCAAAAAAATGTACAGTTACAAGAATCGTTTTCCAAACAGAGGTTAAATATGAGCTGAAAAGTGTAAAAAAGGAAGAGGAACGTCACTTTACAAATCATTAAATTAAACAAATAAACAAACAGAAAACAAAACCCAAAGAACCAACCCCCCCATGCCAAGTTCTCTCCTTGTGCAACTCTGCAAAATGAGAACAGAAAATGAGGTGGTGGCCCATGGAGGTGGGGGCCCCGGGGCAGGCAGGAGCTGGGGGCCAGGAGCAGGCGGGAGGGGGCTTCTGGGGCCACATGGCCGTGGGCCTCCTGTCCCTTTGGCCTGGTGGTCTCCGGCACCTGGCTGTGCCTGGTGGCCCTACTGAGGCTGAGGGTAGAGAGGGGCGCCTCTGGAGGCTCCCATCAGCCTGTGACATTCAAGCACTGCAGGGACAAGTCATATTGGAAAGTGGACACACAGGACATGGGGATAGTCACCAGTGCCCAGCTGGTACCTGCCCCAGGTACCAGCCTTCACTCTCCTGGTCTGAACCTGCCCCAGGCCAACCCCGAATGTCTTTCTTCTCTCTAGACCACCCCTTCCCAGATCCTGACTGGCCCCTGCAGCATCAAATGGTTGATTTTAGTTTTTGCTTAAATTAAAAAATTAAAATATATATACATATATATACTGTACACACAGGACACTAACAGAAGAGTGTTGAAAAGGGAAGTAGGAGTGGGACAGGGGAGAGAGGAGGGTGGGGGGCCTGGGGCCTGGGCGTCCAGGGAAGGGGAACAGGGTGGGGCAGAGGAGGGACCCAGGGAGAGGGGAAGGGCTAGAGGTCAGGGCACCAGAACTGGGGTGATTTATTTTACAATAAAATCAGGAGTTCAAACCTCAGCAGAACAGAACTCTGAGATCCCCAGAGAGCCCCTCCCCACACTGAAAGAGGAGGGTCGGGCTTAGGGGGGACAGGTTTAGGGGTGGGCGGGAGCTCGGCTTCAGGCTTGGATGACAGGGGGTCCCTGGTCAGAGGGGAAGGGCCGCGGTCTCAGCTTCTCCGGGACTTGGAGTGTTGAATAAGCCACTGTAGGGTGATGTCTGGGCAGGGAGCAAGAGAGAGGGTTACAGGGCTGCCGGGGCTGAGCCGCTGCGGAGGCGGAGCAACTACCTGGGGGTGTGGCAGGAAGCCCAGGGCTTCCAAAAGTGCAGTGTGTGTGTGTGTGTGTGTGTGTGTGTGTGTGTGTGTGTGGTGGGGGGGGTCAGCGCTTAGCTCATCAACAGCCCAGAGATAGGCTCCAGACAGGTAGCAGGGCGACTGGGTGTTGTGAGAGAGATAGCATCCTGGACCGCAGAGCCAGGAAGGGCCTGGGAATCACCTGGTCCAACCCTGTGATGTTACAGGTGGGGTGTGAGGCCCAAGGTCACACTACCGGGTGATGGCCTCCGCCTCTGAGCCTCCTGGCTGCCTGTGTGACCCCAGGAGAACCACACAGCTTTTGGCTTCAAGGAAAGACCTGGAGTGCAGCCTTTGAGAGCCACTGTACTGCAACACCTGAAGCGTCCCTCCCCCCGCCCCTGCCCCCTCCCTACTTCCCAGAATACCAGCATCTCCTCCAAACCCACGCACCAATGTTGTCCTTTTCCTTGCAAGAGATGGAGTAGCAGCAGATCTCTCGGTCTTGGATGGCAGACAGATTCCTGGGGGGAGACCAGAGCAGAATCTGCTGAGGCTTGGGACTGCCCAGGAGGCCTGCGGCTGGGGGCGCTGGGGCCCCCTTTCTTGCACAGGGAACGTCCATGGGGAGGGCGAGGCTCCTGGAACGTGGGCTCTGCTGCCACCATGTGGCCACCACTGACAGCAGCAGCCATCTCTGCCTGGGGGACATGGGGAGCAGGGGGGACAGAAGAGCTGCCAGACTCACATTTTCTCTATCAGCTCCTTCTCATCCAATGCCCCTGGGAGGTCTCGCTTGTTGCCCAGGACTAGGACCTACAGAGAAGAGAGGACAAGAACTGAAGCCGGGGCAGCGGTGGCCAGGCTGGCTTCTGCGGGCCTCCCATTTCCTCTCCCCGCCCGAGGGGCCTGCCCCCGCCCCGCCCCGCCCCCTCCCTCCCACCCCATCAGTAACGCGGACCGGGATGCCCTGCAGCTGGGGCTTGTCCAGCAGGTTGTGGAGCTCATTCTTGGAGGCCTCGATCTTCTCCTGGTCAGCGGCGTCCACCATGTACCTGGGGGAGGCAGGGAGGGGACAAACATGCGGACACTCCAGGCTGAGAGACAGGAAGAGAAGGAGCTGCTGCTTGGCACAGAAAACATCTTGTTGCAGCCGAGTCACCTCTGGATCCACAGGCTCAAGGCAGGTGCCGCAGGGACTGGTTTCTGAATCGCTGGAGTAAAAAGCTGCAGGGCCGCCAGGGCCTGTCATGATCCTGTCCTCCAAAGGCCCCCTCTGGGGAAGCTGTCACTCAGGTGGCAAAGCCTGGCAACGGGTGCTCCGGTGCCCTTGGACCAGACCTACGTCACTCGCAAAGCGACCCTCTTAAATGTTTTTATGGGAAGGCCAGATAAGGTTGCGTGTAAAAAACAAAGGAAGCCCCACAGAACTTTCCTGCCACAAAATACTTACAAATGGTGAAAACGAAGCAATCTTTTGCTTTGGCATATGGATGCTAAATTGTTTTTAAAAGCGAGGGACTGAACCATTTCAATCACGTCAAATTCAGGAGAGAGGTGACTCTGGGTTGGGGGAGGCACGGAGGCACCAAGGGGCCGCACAGGCACGCCTGGCCATCGGATGCTCTGGGCCTCAGATGGGTGGGGACGCCCAGAGCGCTTTCAGGGAAGCCACCAGCGGCACGCAAAGTAAGGGCAGGCTAAGCGTGGACATGTGTCCTGAACCAAGGACGAGGACTAACCCAATTCTGTGCCTAAGGTCCCCACAGGGAGCAGGTCTGGGGGAGCCAGGTGAGGCTGAGCAGTCAGTCCTGTGGCCCCGTCCCGCCTCGCCTGACACTTACACGATGGCGCTCACTCCTCGGCAGTAGCGCTCCCACATGCTGCGGAATCGGGGTTGTCCCCCAATGTCCCAGAGCTGAGCAAGAAGGGGGTGAGATGTCTCAGCAGCAGGCAGGCAGCTGACTCCATCCTGGTTGCCAAGCCCTCCCCTCCCTGCCCTCCTCCCCCGCTCCTGGGCCCTGCTAGGGGATCCCTTTGCTGACCCTGCTCGGCTCCCCCACAGCCCTGACCACCTCAGGAGTCTCCTGCCCTGTTTCCCAACTACCCAAGCCTCTCCCGGGGCCTCAGGTGCACGCTTGTGCGGCTCCCAGCCTGTGCCCGGGTTTCAGCTCCCTGCCACTCACCTTGATGGTCACATTGCCTTTGGTGATTTTGCGCATGTTGAAGCCCACAGTGGGGATCATGTCCTCATTGAACTGTCCTGACTAGAAGGAAGAGTCAGAATTGGAAAAGGGGCAAATATCACCAGGACCCAGATGCACATTCCTGAGAGACACAAACCAAAAGGCTGCAAAAACAGAGGCCAGGCCAGAACTTCTGAGGCATCCCACTTGGGGGGTCTTGGGGCCATCTCCTGAGTGTCTCTGGCTTTCAGGCAGGACAGGCTGTAACCAACCCAGGTGTCCGCCCCACACCTGGAGCTCTCCTATGAATGAAGAGGCTCGTCTCCGTCAGGCAATCTCGAAGTCTCTCAACCTAGACTGAGGGGGAATTTTTCCCAAGGTCTAACCCACATCTCTCTGTTGGGACAGAAGGCCCTTGACTGGATTGGCCTCCAATGGAGCAGAAGAGCAATTACCTCCCAGTGTGAGATCCCCGAACAAGTCGTGGTAAACAGGCAAGGGGGATCTCAAAGGAAGCAGACAAATTTTCAAACTAATAGTAAATACCCAAGTCAAAAGTTTTGGGGCAAGTAAATTGGCCAGCCCCAGACTTCAGTGTACACCAAGCAACTTCTGGGGCATCCACAGTTTTGGTTTATCTGCACATATTCCATCTGTTAGAATGGACACTCTACCCATTGAATTATTAGCTGTTAACCTGAGTCTTCCCGTGAGACTGAGAGCTTCCTGGGGAGAGGAACCATGTGTATATTAGTGTTGATTAAGTGTGAGCTGAGTAATTTGGACTTGACTATAATTCTGTTTCCCATAATCTATATTCAAATTCCTGTAATTTTCATTTCTCCCCTCTAAACTGCTTCCAAGATCTCTAGATTGTTCTCAACTAGCCAGAGAAATAAGGCCAGACCAAACTCACCTCCAAGGTCATGTCCATGTTTCTATGTGGGGCATTCTGCTTACCCTCCAGATGCAGGCCACAGGAGGTAGGGCTCACTTAACCTTGAACTTGAGGGTGACAGCCTTATTCCTTCATTGTGAAATTTTTTTCTACCGGTGGTAGGGTTAATTTGCCTCACATAGGCGTCACATAAAGAGGTCAGGGGCTCTGGCCATTAGCCAAGGTGTAGGAGATGACAGTTTCTTATTCAGAGTAAGTCTGAACAAAGACCCCAGAGGTCCCATCTGAATGAGCGTGACTCCCTCTTACCTGCAGGAATCACCAATCTCATTCACCAAATGCCTTGGATGTGAGAACTGACTACCCACAGTAGATGCTCATGGTCAGTGGAACAGGGCTCCTAACCTGGGGGCCACAGATGGGTTTTACAGAGTCCCTGCACCCCTTGTAAACGCAAATTTCTGTTTGTATGCCTGCTTCTCTGGGGAAAGAGTCCAAGAGCCCCTAAAAGCTAGGAATCACTGAGGAAAAGGGAGCTCTCTGAAGGGTGCCTGCTTCTCTTCCAGGCAGGGAGACCCACATGGTATGAGCACCCACACCCCTGCAGGGGGTCCTATCCATCCCCATCCGGGCCGATCACAAGCACCAAGTCTGAGGCAGGAAGCCCACTGCCTGCTCATCCTTCATCTTGGAGGAGCTTGGGCAAGACACTTGGAACTCTGGGCCTCAGGGCTTCCTCCCTCCTGTGAAGTGGGGGAGAAGGGGTTTGGTTTGCTAGAGATGGACAAATAAGGCTCACCGAGCAATTGGAGATGGTTTGCTACGGCATGAGGAACCATCATTGCCCTCTGGCAACAAGGCTCACCGGCTCCCATGTAAGAGACCAGCCTGAACTGACAGAATGTTGGACCTAAGCTGGAACCAGTTATGACTTTATATCCTTGCTAAGGCTTCCCGATCCTGCAGGCTCCTCATTTAAGGTGGGAGGTAACCCTGAAGTCATCTAGTCCAAACTCTTATCTCAGATCTGAATCCCCTCTGGTCATACCCTCTTGGGTGAGCACCAACTCTCTAGAAGTTCTTTATAAGTCAAAAATCTGTCTTCCTAAAACTTCCCCTGGCCCGCTCCCCGTTGGGTACTCCAAGATTAGTTCTTCCACAGGACTGTCTTTTACCCTTTTGTGACTTTTATATGTGAAAATGCCCTCTTGTTTCCTTCAGGCAAAACATGCACTTCCCAGCATTACAACTTTTTCAGAAAGCGAAAGATCAGTTTCAGATTCTTGGAAGTATTGTAAAGTCTTTATCTAATTTTTGTCCAGCTCACATTAGCCTGCTGAGCAGCTAGACACATAGACTCAATTCCTTTTTATAGTCAGACCACACGTAGTGAGTAGAAAAAAAAAAAACAAATGGGAAAACAGCTGAGATAAACAGAGGCCAAACAAACAGGCAAGGGTAATTCAGAAAGTCAGTGGTGGGCATGGGAACAGTGCCCATGGGTCCTAACTCTTCATTTCTTCCTGAAAGACACTCCCCTGGGATCATACACAGGGTGGTGGAAATGCCAGTGTGGTAGCCCTGCAAGATCTGAGAACCCTGGGGTCACCCTAATGCTGAAACTCCCACTGCAGCCCTGTACAAGGGGTGGTTTTCCTTACAGCCTCTTTACAGGGAAATTTCACTTGTACTTTTAGGATGTCCAAGTTGAAGTGGCCAATTTAATATCAAAAAAGTAAACGCATGGGCTGGAAGTGGGAACTTCCCAGCACATCACAGATGCTCTTGATCCTGGCAGTGGAATCTGCCTCTTGGATTCTGTTCCTGACCTGCCATAGTGTCCCACTATCTGGATATGATGCTGGTCTAGAGGAGACCCTCCTGACTAGGAAACAGCCCGCTTGTATATCTGTACACCCCCATCCAGGAGCATGGCTTCAGCAAATGCTCCATGAGAGCTTCCCTGGGGACAGGAGGTGACACCTAGGCTGAACCATTAGAGCAGCAGCAACTTGTCTCGCCTCTTGGCCTGACCCCAGAAGCATCTCCCAGATCTAAATGCATAGAAGCCAAGCTTCCCAGGCCTGCAGGATCAGAACCCAGGTGCTGTGCGCCTGCTCAAGGAGCCCAAAGGCCAAGTCAGTGCCACATCTAAAGGACCTCTCTGACTCTGGGGCCAGAGCCCGGGCAGACTGGAGCCTAGGGGTGTGTGTTGGCCCAGAAACCATCATGCGAGAAAAGCAAGGGCCTGAGGATCCTGCCCTGTTTGATGTGGAGCCAGGAGTGACCGGGTGGAGGAAAGGGCAAAGGTCATTTGCAAAACCTGTTTGGGAAAGGAAGCCAGTGCCCAAACATGTGATCATGGGGTACCTGCCCTAGGCGATGCTCTCTCAGCATCTCAGGATTCTGAGACCCTCTTCCACCTGGATGGGCAACAACACAGGCAGGGTAAGGTACCTTGGCTGGCTGGCTGGCAGGCCACACTTCTTTGCTGACCTATCTCACCAGCATTTTCGGCTAGTTACCTGGCCAATCCACAATTCTCAGAAACCCCAGTTTTGGGACTGCGGCCAGGTCCCTGGACAACCCCTGCCCCTGCTCCAAGCCTTCCTCAGCCGCACAAGCCCAGTCCAGCCAGCCAGGCTCTGAATGCAGGCCGCGGCCATTACTGCAGCCTCAGCTCACACACCCATAAGCTCATCTTCCCCTTTTTTTGAGGATTTTTAACTCCTTCCCCACCATGCCCTCTGGCACTGAAAGACTTGCAACGGTCCGCCTCGGTCTTGACCACCCCAAGCCCTTAGAGCCGCGCTCTCCGTGTCCCCAGAGTGGGCAGTGCCCCTCCAACTCATCCCCTGGTCCGAGCACCTCCTCCTGCAACTTCTGAGCCAGGCGGAGACGCCCAAACTCCCTTTAGGATGCCATCCTCCCTGGACCCCGGCGAGAAGCCTGGGCGGGAGCCAGGGCCTCAGCTGATGCCACCACCCCAGGGATGCCTCCCCTCCCCCTCAAAAGCGCCGGGCTTCCTCTTCCGGCAGGAGGGGTTAAGCCCTCCGGGTGGGGCTGGGCTTGCCCAGGCCCCCTCCCCACGCCGCTCGGACCGCCCCTTACCGCGACCCTCCGCCCGCGGGGCCTGGAGGCCCGGGCACTTTCGCCCCGTCATGCCCCCATGCGCCGGGGTCGCAGGGGGCCTGTATCAGCGGGCGACGGATCCCTCTTAACTGCGTGACACCCCGGACCGCGGGTCCCGGGGCGCCGGCCTCGTCTCCTCGTGCCTCCTCCCCGCCCCCGGCCGTGCCATCCCGGCCCAGGCGGGAGCGCGGGTCGCGCGCCACCCGGGTCCCCCACGGGCCGTGCTAGGCCCCAAGCGCCCGGGCCCGCGCCTTCCCCGCCAGGCACCGGGCCGTGCCCGGCCCTGCCAGGCGGCGACCCCGGCTCCCCGGGGCGCGGCGCGGACGGAGACAGGCCCGACCCTCGGCCGGCGCCCCGGGCCCGCGCCCCGCGTCCTCGTACCGCGATCACGTTGACGAAGGTGGTCTTGCCCGAGTACTGCAGCCCGACCAGCGTGAGCTCCATCTCCTCCTTCCAGAACAGGGCCTTGAACCAGTCCAGCAGCTTGTTGAACAAAGCGATCATGGTCGCTGCCGCCGGCCCTGCCCGGTGCCGGCTCCCCGCCGCCCCTCGCTGCCTCGCGCTGCGGCCCGGAGCGGCCCCTCCCCGGTGCGGCCCGGGTCCCGCGGTCGGTGCGGGCGGAGGCTCGAGCGCGGCGGCCGACGGCTCTGTGCCCCGGGATCCGCTCGCCGATGGGTGTGGCCTCAGCGCCCTCCTCCTCCTCCGCCGCCGCCACCGCCCCCCCGCGCGGCCGGGCCGTGTCCTGCTCGCACCCGAGCGCGCGCTCCTCCCTCGCGCTGAACCGGGGGGACCCAGGGGCTCCGGGGGGCGAGGGCGGGCGGGGCTTCCCGCGGGTCCCAGCCGTCGCGCCTGACCCGCTGCTGGCCTCGGGGGGCACTTGACGAAAAAGGTAGAATCTTACGTCTCTCCTACCCGGGCTGCCGCGCCCGTCTGGTACCCCTTCCTTTTTAAAGGGTGGTGGGACCAAGGTGGTTCCCCATAAGCAGGAACGTTTTCCAGGGTGAAGAAGGGGGTTCAGCACTTTTTAGGACACCAAGATAAGATCTCTCCGAAAGGGAGGAAAAAGGAGGCTTTTTGTTCCCTGAATCCTGAACATATCTGGATACTGAGGTCCATCCTCTCAAAATGTGCCCATCAGAGAGGAACACCGTCCTGGGTGTTTAAACTCCATCTCGCTAACAGTTACCTGGGCCACTCGTTCAGGACGCCTCTGGCCCCGGGGGAGCAGATGTTTGAGACTGATGCCAATTTCCCCCAGTCTCACCACGGTACTCAGATACTGCCGAGAGGGTCCCAGTGAGGAAGATCTGTGGCAAACGAAAAACTTGGCTGTTTTGCTAAAAGCCAGTTTTCAAGAGAACAGGCGACTGCAGGTGTACGGCTGTCAAAATGCCCTTGCCTTGCAGAGCCTGCTGAACCCTGGGGTTGGCTGGACCCTGATCTAGTTGCAGGTTTGGGGCAGTCCCCACCCTATGCTGGGTGCCTTCCTACTGGGTTTTCCTATGTACTCACATGTAGTCTTTTGTTTCAGTCAAAGGCGCATAAACTCATTATCAACCATATTCGGCAAACCAGGATGATCCCTATGATCCAAACAGGTGCCCACGTGGAGGAGTCACAGTTTTGGTCCAGCACAATATTTTGGGTTAAGTGTCATCTTCCTAGGCCCTGCCCATTCTAAGTCCCTCTCCCCAGCTCTTGGGTACACCTCTGCTCCATTGCCTGAATTGATTCTGGTCTGGTACACTTTATGTGCCCCAAAAGTGCTAGGACAGCGCCTATTCCGGGATCTGTAGCCCCTTCCTGGTCTACGGATTCTCACTTGCCGTGTTGCTGTAAGGAGGGTGCAGAAGCCTGAGAAGAAGATGGGAAGAAGGAATGAACAGTCATCCAAGAAGTCTTTATTTTCCTGCTGGGTTACTTTTCCAGAGCTGTGCCCTGGAAAGGCATGGAGTTGGGATGGGGCTGGGGCAGTGCACCAGGAAGGGAGGCCTGTGGGCCTGCTCAGTGGCTCCCCTCCTGGCTGGCTCTGCGCTCAGGGCAGCACCAGGCCCTTGAGAGCTCTCCTCCCAACTTCCTGCGCACAGACCGTCAGGAAAGTGGGGGTGCAGGAGAGCCCCTTTGCAGGGCTGGGAGGAGGAGCAGCCCTCAGGAAGGCCAAGCAGAGGCATTAAGAAAATCCACCTCAGTTTCAACACCACAGGTTCTTCAGAAGAGATGTCATGGGTGAGGAGGCCCAGCTGCTCTCCAGGATTCAGCTCCTTGGGGGGCTCCACAGAGAGCAGCATCAGTGAAGGCAGACCCCAGGGGTCGAGTGCCTAGAGGAATAATACCTCCCTTCATCCCCACAGGCGGCCCATCTTGGATCGAAGGGTGAAAGATTCGGATGTCTTCCTGGGGTGAGTAGGTCAGCCCTGAGATAGCCCAGGAAATTGCATTTTCGCTGAGGTGATGAGAGAGTGAGGTCTCTGGGGTAGACTAAGAGGGGTCCCCGTTCAGTCTGAGCCCCCGTTTGCACTCTGCTGTGGCAGGGGAGGAGGGTGGTCGAGGGGGCTGGTTAATCTAAAATCAGGCTGATCTTTTTATTTCTTCTTTCCTCTTTCTTTTGTACTTTCTGGTATCCAGGGTATCTTCTGGGGTCAGGGAAGGAAGACAGAGGGTGCTAGGCCTCCCTAGGGAGTAGCTGGGGTGAGTGCCTGGCAATTACGGAGGCACAGGCAGCTCTCTGGGCCTCTGAGGGGTCCCCACTCTTTTCCATCTTCCAGAGATTTCAACTGCTGAGCCTGGTCACCTCTGCAGCCTGCTCCCAGGACACGTGTGGACACAGGTAGTCCGGGCCTTGTTCTCTCTTAAGGATATCTCTGTGAGGGGTATCAGTCCTCACAGATGAGGGGCGAGGAGGCAGTTACTGCTAGGATGTTGAGAACTTGACCAAGGCCAGGTCCAGACTTTTCCTGGCTCTGGCATCTGGCCTGTTCGTGGGCAGGGCCCTGGGCACAGGATGGCCTTGGGATCACTTTGCCATCCCAGGAACAGCATTTATCTGGAGCAGCTCCTAGGATCTTCCCTGATTGGTTTCCTCTTATGGCAGCAAAACACTTACTGTCCGTGTCATAGACGAGGAGAATGCAGCTTGCAGAGCACTTTAGAGCAGGCGGAGACACCTGGGTCTCTCAGGTCTGGTGTAAGTGCCAGCTCCTATCTTTAAGTTCAGAGAGACATGGGAGGGTCCCCCTGGTGTCCGCATGGGGCGACTAGTGGAAGCAGAAGAGCGGCCCGTCGTGCAGACTTGGAGTCTGGTCCTGGTCCTTGCTGATGCAGCTTCCTGGGGCCACATGTGCTCACTGAGGGGGCACCCCTTCCCCATGCCCACCCTGGGGATAGCCCCGGTCACAAGGCCCACTTTCCCCAGACCCACCTTCCCAGGCCTGGGGGATTTGGGCGCCTGGGCTAGTGGAAGGTGCCAGGGGGCAGGGGCTGGACTCCTCCGGCAGCTGGGCTGCATACAGGGCTAAGGTGTGGTGCAGGAACTGGTATTGCTCCGTGGTCTGGATCATCCCCCCCCTGCGAGGAGAAGCACACAAGCCATGAGTGAAGGAGGGTCAGGTCAGACGTCTTCATCGTCCTGTAGGGAGATCTGGATTCTCCCAAAGAACCCGCAGCTCCATCCCACATGTTCATCCTGTCTGCTTCCTACTTCTTGCTGCCCCTCCCACGAAGGGAAGACCCGCTGCCCCTTCCTGAGGGTGGAGCCCTGCGGTTAGTTGTGCCGAGGAGGAGGTGCCCCACACTGGCGCTTGGTCTTCTCAGACCCATCAGCTCCTGGGGCAGAACCAGGCCCCTGATTCCTCAGGCCAGGCCAGGAACATTCCTGAGCCCCCAGGTTTCCTCTTCCCAATGATCTTAAAAGTAAAATTAATAATTCCATTTTGTATTTGTGTAGTAGGTTCTCATGTTTCAAAAACAGGTTCTCAAAGTTGACTCATTCCTTACAATCGCACTCTTTCGAAGGGGCCATTATTCTCTGCAGGTAAGGAAAGGGGCCCGAGAAGTACAGTGACCCCTCGGTGAGATGCAAGCCAGAATTTGCACCCTGGCCCTTGTCTCCAGATCCCGTGAGCTTCTGCACATTACCTGTGGCTGCCTAGTACCTAGAACTAACCAACCCTATCCCCCCACCTTTCCCCTGAGTTGGGGATTTGGAAAAACAAAGACAAAAGCAACAAGATGGAAGGCTCAGGAAAATCCATAGAGTGGCATATTTAATTCTAGGCCCCTATGGTAAAATTCTAGATATAGATTCTTTTCTGGGTATTAATTGCAAAGGAGACAGCTCTTTAGGCAAAGGGCCAGTTCCTTTCTCCCAGGAAGTGCTCAATGGGGATGTGCCTATAAGTGGTTTGGCGTGCGGGGGCCACTGAGGCCACACCTTAATGTGGCTGGTCCTGTTTATATCCATGGACCCACCTGTCCAGCCGCAGTTGGCACACAATGCCCAGAATGTCCACTTCTCCTCGGGCCTTCAGCTGTTGGCAACCAATTCGGGTGGCGATGAAGCAGCCTGTCCGGCCAATCCCTGCACTAGATAAAGCCGGGGAGGAGGCGGGAGGTCACAGGAGGCCAGGGACCCTGGGGACCAGGCAGGTGGGGACATGAGGACCAGGTGCTGGGGAACATGGGGACCAGGCCCCAAACTATACAGCAGCAACAGGGACTGGTCTATTTTGGGGTGGGGACGTGGGGACGGAGGAAGGTAGCAATATGGTCTCAGGCTACCGCTGGCCCTGAAGGAGTTGACAGATCTTCCTAGCCTCGCTTGAAACCTATTCCAGGTTGCCCTCAGGTCCCTGTGAGCATTTCAATGAGCTAGCTCTCTTCTGAGCAGTGGGCAGTGGTTTCCTGCTGGCAGTGCCCATGTGCGCTTGCTGACCCCTTGAGTCCTCCCTGTCTAACTGTGACTTCCTCCCAGCACAGACCGTCTTCCTGGCTGCTGACACTCAGCTCCCTCTCCCCTCCCGGGGCCTGCCCGGAGTCTCCCCTCCGGACTCTGCTCTTTCCTGCCCCTTTACGTCCTCTCAGGCATCCCTTCTTTAGGAAGTCTTCTTATATGAACAGCTGATAGAAGCCCCTCGTGACCTCCTAGCTTATGTCAGGTGCCATCTATGGGGAGGGGGTTCATGAGCCCCTTCTGTCTGCTTCTTGCCTCTATGTTCTGTTTAGGGCATACGCTTCCAAATTGTTTTCTTGTTGAACCTTGTCCCCTGCATCACACCCTATTCCCTGGGAGTCCACGTCTTTCTCTGCAGCCAAAGTATTCTTTTCAAATGGCAAATCCAAGTCTCTCAGCCAGTCCTATGGGGCCCTTGTTACTGGCTGTTCGGACTCATCTCTCATCACTGTCCCTTTTCCCCCATGACCTCTGGGCCCCTGCTGTCTAACTCTACAGTCAACAATGAGCCAGTTTTAAAATTTCATCTCTGGGCCTTTGCACATGCTGTTCCACCTGCCTGGAACCCTACGCCTTTCCCCTCTTTGCTTGATTAGGTCACTTTTCAGGTCTTAGCTCAGTTCAGACATCCCTTCTCCTGGAAGACCTTCTCTGGCCAATTTCTGGTTTGGGTGACTTGATTCTGTGCTCCCCACATATGCCATCAGGGCCTTTCATCACACTGTGTGATGATTAATTGTTTTATCTCTTCTCATCACATTGTGTGATGATTAATTGTTTTATCTGCTGTCTTTCCCACCAGACTATAAGCCTGTCAGGGTGGAAACCAAACTGCCTTGCTCATAGCTGTCTCCTCAGCATCCAGTACTATGCCTGATGGTAACAGGTCTTCAATAAACACTGTTGAATGAGTAAATAAACTCCCCTGCAGCGGGGACCGGGCTGATCTCCTGCCCCAGCAGACTGGGCGCTTCCTGACATCCATTCCCTCTCTGGTCCAGCCCAGGTTCTGCATGGAGGGAATAAGAGACAGCACTTGCTGGGCGACCTAGACATTCCTTTCCAAGCAGTACCTGGGCCTGCCCGGCCTTGCTCTTCTCAGAGCCCTTCCCCGGAGAGACCCAGTGGAAGGGAGGGGAGCCTGGCTCTGGCGCTGCCATCGCTGGGGGGCGGGGGGCTGCGTACCTGCAGTGGACCACCATGGGCCTGGTGTGGGCAGCTGTGTCCGGGCTCTGCTCCACCTCAGCCACCAGGTGCAGCAGGGGCCCAGCTGATTCTGGTGTCTGGTGGTCAGGCCAGGCTGAGAATAGGACGTGCTTCACTGACCGGCATTCCCCCTGGCACTGGCGTGAGGACAAGGAGTGAAAACCAGGGTGAGGGTCAGGGCGCTGCTAGCCTTCTCCTCTGGTGCCAGAGGAATTTCCCCGTGGGGCAGCCATGGGCCCTGGCCGGGCAAGGTAAGCCCTTTCTCTGCTCGTCATACCCCACCACTTCCTCCTCGGAAACGCTGGAAGGAGCACTGTCGGTGGAAGGGCGGAAAGACCCAAGTTCAAGTCTTGACTCTGCCCCTAACTAGCACGTGACTTTGGGTAAGTCCCTAAACCTCATTTTCTTCGCCTAGAGAAAGGGGATGGCGCTGCTTAGATTTACTTCGCAGGATGCCTGAAGGGTCCCGGGGCTGGAGAAATGCTATACAATAATAGGAGGCACTCTTAGCACTTTCACATCTTAAAAGCTGCCATACATCTCTGGATGCCTGTAGCTCCTTCAGCAACCGGACCCACCCCCACCTGCATCCTGGGCCATTCAGCACAGACCAGGGGGCTCGGCTTGGTTCCCTGGCTCTGCCCCAGGGGGGCCTCTGAGGGCTGCACCCATGTTTTTCTTCTGTGCCTCAAGCACTTCTTTTAGATGTGGGGTAAAGAAGGTTTAATCAGGTAAATCCGTGGCTCCTCGTGAAGGTCTGGCCTGGGCTCCAGGGGTGCTGGGGGTGGCCTGACCTCCCTGTGCCCCAGGCTTGGTTCCAGAGGGTGGTACCTGGATGGTGAGCTGCCGCACAATGTATTCTGGACGCTCTTTCACATCTTGGATGCAGATCTGGAAGGGGCCATAGGTTTCTTCTTCTGTGGGCCAGTAGTGGACACATTTCTAGGAGGGAAGGAGCTGGGAGTCAGAGGGAGAGGGTCTATCAGCCGGAGCAGGGGTCAGGGCAGCAGAACGGGGAGTGAGGTCCCCTCCACACCTCCCACCCCCTCTGGAGGAGCTGGGCACTGGCTGGGTCAGCCCCTGGGACCGGGCTCTCCTGAACTTGGTACCTGCAGATGAAGTGCACACCCCCTCCCACATTCTAGCTATGGACAGCCTCTGTGGTGTATATGGCAGGAATTTTTCTAAGATGGGCCTGGCTATGGGTGTTCTCAGTTCCCAGGGGAGCCGTGGTTCCGAGCTGCCCTGAATGGGGCATGAGTGTGCGGTAGGGCTGGGTATAGCCCTCTCTGGGCTCACCGGGGCTGGTGGCTCTGCCTCCTACCTCCTTGCCCTCTCGGAGCTGAGTGAGCATGACAATGAGTGACACTTCCTCCTGCCACACCATCTCCCAGAAGTCTGACACAGTGTTGGGCATGGGGCCCTGCGTTGCGATGTAGACCTTCTCCTGCCCATCGTAGCCCTGGGGAGGTGGGGGCACAGGAGAAGGGGTAAGGAAGCAGTGAGAGTAGAGGTCTGGGGAGATCCCAGACTCTGCAAGTCCTAGAATCAGGCTGAAGCCAGGGAATGTGCAGCCATAGACACACGTGCAGAAATGCACATGCCAGAAGCCGCATGGTGGAGGAGACATGCGTTCTGGAGTGAGAGAAATCTGGGTTCAAATTCCTGTTCTGCTGCATGCCAGCTCTGTTACCATAAACAAGTTACCCAGCCTCTGTAAGCCCCAGCTTTCTCATCTTGAAGTGGGCATAATATCCGTCTTGCAGGAATGTAGTGCAGATGAAATTCAACAAAGTCTACTGCGAGCCTAGCGTGTTTCAGGTCCTCTGTAAATGTTCCCTTCCTGCCCCACTGCTTTGTACTAGCAGAAAATAGGAAAACTGTGCAGTATTTCTTTCTTACGTATTACATTTATACACATAGAAGCAAGATGCAGTACATTCTTGCCAGCCCGTTCTTCTCCCCTCAGCTTGCTGCTCAGGATGGTGAATCCAGACCATTGCCCCCCGCCAGCACCCCATTCTCTGCTGGCAGCTGGGAGATCACATTTCCCCCGTGGCTTCCCCTGCCGACTGCTTTTCACTTCTCTGTACCAGCGGCCACGGTCCTTCCCACTCTGAACCACCAGAGAGCCTCTACATCCACTTGAGGCCAATAGAGGTGGGCAGCCGGTGGAGAGAACCACCTCACATCCCAGGTTCCTCTAGCTGGGTATTAGACCACCTCCACGAGGAGGGGCTGCCTGGGGGGCAGTCAAGCCGAGACAAAGGGAAAGGGGACACCTGAGAGCTGCCCGTTGTGCCGGCCCAAGCCCTTAGCCTCAGGAAGCTGGGGTGGGGTCGGCAGCGCAAACTCCTCTGTGTTCAGAGGGTTGGCAGAGATAAAGTAACGGGGAGGGGGCATTCAGGAGACTTGGCAGTCTCTTCCTTTCAGCGTGTTTAACATCTGCTTGTTCTCAGCTGGTGTCCTGGGGCCTGGTCAGGATCCGTCCCAGCTTGGCAGGCCATGGCACCAGCGAGCGGGAGCCGGAAAACCCAGGCGCCGGAGCCACAGGCATGGCTGGAAGGTGCTCTCCGGGCACATCTTCAAACACAGCCCCACCATCCTGCCCTGTGCTGCGGTGGCGGCCGGTCACTCACGCGAATGTAGTTGGCGTTGATGTAGTCTCCGTCCTCTTGGCTCTGTGCCCGGCCTAGACAGACGCGGCTCTGGGGATCTAGGAAGTCAAAACCAGTGGAGGTCAGAGGTCAAAAGGTGACTAATGCACACCCCCCAGCAGGGTCAGGGAGAAGAGAGTTCCTGTGCTCATCATAGTATCTTGCATATAGCAGGTGGCCAGATGCTCGTTGGATTATTTTCTCTGCAGACAATAGGGAGCCACCGATGTTTTTGAGTGGTAGAGAGACATGATCAAAGCAATAATTTGTAAAGGTTAACTGCGTGGTGCTGGGTAGGAGCCAGGGAAGGGAGCAGCAGGGACCGAATAGGAGCTCCTGTAATACTCCACCCTCGAGATCATTAAGGGTGTAGAGTAGGATTGTGCCAGTAGGAATGGAAAGATAGATGTTGGAAAAAGAGAATGGAAAAATGAAGGAAGAATTTTTTCTGATGGTGAATGTGGGATTCAGATGAGTGACCTGCTAATGTCTCAGTGGTGAAGTGGGCCTAGACCTCAGGTCTCATTCCCACCGGAAGGGGCCCCCGCTTCCTTTAAGGGGGAGGCTTTCTCCAAACCCACCCAGGCAGGAATGAAGACGCTAGTTTGTGCAGAGAGGAGAGAGGATGCTTGCTTTCCCTGTGCTGGCCTGGTTTGGGACAGAGGGTACCCGGGTGCCAGGGGGTCTCAGGTAGAGGACTGTGTGCCCTCTGCCCTTTCTGGTAGCTTCAGGGCTGGTTGGAATGAGGCCAAAAGCAAGGGCTGCTCCTTCCCCCTCACGTTGAGGAGTGCTGACAGCCCCTTGACCTGCTATACAGGCAGAGTCAGAATTTGCAGAGGTCTTAAGACCCAGAGCCACTGAAAGGCTGCTCTGAGGGGAACGGAGGGAAGGAGGGAGAGTCTTCAAGGGCCTCATGGTCAAAGGGCCTCACTCCTGCCTCTGAAAAAGTAGGAGGTGCTGATCCCCTGGTGCCGAACCCCTTATGGCTCCTTGACGTCCATCCCAGCCTGGTCACCGCCCTGCATCTGAGTCTCTCAAAGCCCCCTGTCTGGGAGCCGTCCTGATGGTGCCTCTTCCATCGCAACCCTTTGCTGGGTGTTTCCCGCATGGGAGGGTGAGGAAGAGGGTTTGGTACAACTAGCTGTGTGACCTTGGGCAAGTGACACAACTTCTCTGTGACTCAGTTTCCTCACTTGTAAAATGGGGATCATAAAACCATAGTATCCATTTCATGGGGTTGCAGAATGAGTTCCTACCAATGACTGGGACACCCCCTCGCGCACAGTCCACATCTGCAAATATGAGTTGCTGTGTTCTCATTGTGGCCGCGGTTACTGCTCCTCCTTTCCCCGCCCCCCGCCATGGCCGGGTGCTGGTGTTTCCCTGCCGACAGGAGGCACTCCACGCAGGGTAGCTCGGCCCTGGCTGAAGTCTTGCCTCCTGAACCTCTCACCCTAGGGATAGCGCCGTCTCCCTGCATGCCTGCCAGAGGCCTTACTTGGCAAGATGGTCTTGTATCGGTCCTTGGAAGCATGGCCAGGAATATCCAGGTCTTCAGGGCTGACAAAGTTTGAGGGGATCTTCTGGCATGGGGAGAAAATGAGTGAATGGTCAATACCCCTACCCAGCCTCTTTCCCCCCGTTCCACCCTTTTCAGGTGGAGCTGGGCCCTGACCCTTCCTTCCTGGTGTCAGTATACAGGTCTGGATGGGGTGGAGACTGAAGAGGGCCCCGGGGGCAGTTTCTGCCTTTGAGCCCTGGGTTCCCTTTCCTGAGGGTCAAAGGGGAGCCGTGCCCACAGTTCAAGCTAGTGCTGCCTGCAGGCTGCCTCTGTTTCAGGAGTGTGGCATGGCTCCGGGGGCACTGTGGGCTCTTACCAAGAATTCCTCTTCCAGCTGCTTGGGACTGGGTGGCTCGTGCTGCAGGGCCCAGCGGGTGAGGGGGTGTCCGGCTGTGCGCAGAAAGTGTAGAGTGACCTCCCGGGGGGTGTTCACTGAGCAGATGGGCTCCACGGCCCCCAGGGACCGCACGTCCAACATCAGAGCCACGTTGGAGCCCCGCCTGCAGGCACAGGCGAGCAGTGCCCACTGAGTGCCCGATAATGTTTGCTCTTCTAACACGATTATTGCTATAGGGCACATCTGAGGAGGCTGCTCCTTGTCTTCCCTTGAGCCGAATGCCCAGTGAATTCAAGGGTTCAGGCCCTGCTGCACGCCCTACTTCTGCCAGCCAGAGCAGGGCAGCCTCGAGCCCACCTCTGCCCATTCCTGACCTGGCTCCTAAAGCTTGGACCCACATCCAGACCCAAGGCAGCCTTGTTCCAGGGACAGTTCAATCCAACCTGGCGTTTGGGGAGCAGACGCAAGTTGACATGAAATTGTGCCCAGACATGTAAAGGAATGCAAATGACATGCAAATGAACACATTTGATTTCCTTCCAGATTGGAGTCAACAACTAAAGGCCCTCTGGACTCTCAGCTGCCAGAGCCGGAGGGGCAGGTACAGGGAAAGGGCTGGGGCTCAGGGCTGGACGGCCCCCCTCTGCCGGGAAAGATCTTACCTCTCCTGCAGCCGCACGTGCTTCTTGGCTGGTGCTCTGCTGGGCGGAGGCTGGGTCATGGCTGCCCCCGAAGACGAGACCGACAGCTGTGCTCTGGAGCGCCCCCCGCAGGCCTGGACCATGCTGCGGGGCTGCCAGGCCCCCGGGGAGGCTTACTCAGCCATGAGGCTTGCCTGAAAGACAGGGCCCCTCAGCCGCCGACCCCTGGCCTGCCTGACTGGCCAGAGGGGCCCCAAGCCCAAGCCGGCCCTCTGCTAGCTGGCACCTCTGCTGTCACTGGGGGTGTCTGTTCCTCCAAGAGGGGTGTCATGTCCACCAGGGGAAGGCCAGGATCTTCACAGAGTGACCCAGGGTGGTGGGCAGTCGGGGGTTAGAGTGAGGGCAAGGTTGGGGGAAGGCGGGAAGGAGTCCAGGAGGCAGGGAAGGGAGAGGGGGCTGCCGGGTCCCACAGCCCATGGGGCTCCAAGTGAGAGGAGGCAGGGGAGGGGACCTTCCCCGGGGGCTGTGTGGACAGGAGGGAGCGAGCCCCTGGACAGCAGCTCTCAGTCAGCCAGTGGGCCTTTTCTGAGACACCTGAGGTGCTGTGCTGTGGTGGAGTCCCATGAGGGCACAGGCGTGCCCAGCTGCGGGCCCCCGTCAGGACCCTCTCCTAACTGCTGTCTGTACCACCCCTACGTTCATTCTGGCTTCTGGGGTCTCTGTCCAGGGAGATAGGATGGGGGTGTTTCCTTCCTCCTCTGCCCATCCCCCCCATCTCCCGCCTCTGTAACCGTCACAGGAAATGGCCTCACCAAGCCTCTGAGCGACAGCGCATGGTGAGGCGACAGCTGGGGGCAAGAGAGGGGACACAGAGGTGGTGGAGCCACGTCCTCTTGGGGGACAGGCCACGTCTTCTAGAGCAGGGACACAGCCTCCGGGGGAGGTGGTGTCAGAGTGCTAAGCCCGCAGGGACAGAGGTGAGGGGGACAGAGTGGGCCAGTGCAGATGTGTGTGGTAGAGAAAACTCTCCAGCAGTAGGCGGGGGCTTGCTAGCCTCTGCTCTCCCTGCAGCTCCTGGGGGCTCCCCTGCCCTCTGGCCTGGGGACATCAGCTAGGCCAGCACCCATTCCCCAGCCAGGCACTGTGGCACCTGATGCAGCCTTGTGCACACCCTCCTAGAGATGCCCTCCTGTCGCCCCAAGGTTCACACTGCCCCAGGCCCACAGGACTCCTCCCCCATTCAGGTACTTACTGAAGCAGCCGTGTCCCCCTGGCTGCCTCTTACCAGCTGTCTGTCTGTCTGTTGGTCTGTCTTGGAGGGTGAGGAGGCTTCAGGAAGCCAGTTTCCTCCCTCCGCCCCTCCTCACTGCCACCCACGCACCCCAGCGGCATGCTGCCCTCCTGCGCCTGCGGCCGCCACCAGGGGTCAGGTGCCTCCTGCGGGTGCCCCTCCAGGGGCAGGCTGGCAGTGTGCCAGCACCTCTGCCCCGGGCCCAAGGCCCTGCTTCCTGGGAACGGACGAGGAGCTGGACTGCTCCTGCCTGCCTCGGATCCCCTTGCTCCCAAAGCCCCTGCCTGCAGTGTCCCCCTCCGAGCCTGTGCCACGCCTACCTCTGTCTGCTTGCCGGGCAGAGCTCAGCTGGCCCCCAGCTCTGTGCTGTCCCACATGGGGTCCTGGCTTGTTCCTGTTCAAAGCGACCTCAGCCTGAGACGGATTTCCGCCTTCCCCACTTCTTCCTCAGAGCCCTGGAAGCCTTTGTCCTTCAAGTCTTGGGAGCTCAGGGCACAGACTGCATCTTCCTGAAGCAGAGGTGGGCACACACCTGGGGTGGGATCGGGGAGAAGAGGAAGCAGCAATCCTCGCTCCACCGTGGGAAGGAAAGACCCAGGCCAGAGCAGAGGGGTCGTCCCCGGGCCCTGAGCCACACCGCAGCTCTCGGCTGTGCTGGCCAGCGGGGAGGAAGGGGAGCTTGTGGAGGAGTCTGGGGGGCACTCCCTAGGCTCCCAGCACCCCAGGCCTCCTCCCAGCACCCTGCCATCTACTCAGAAGACTTACAGATAGTGGACAGTCTCTGGCGCTTACACCAGGGGACGCCCATGTCTTCTTCATCACTGGGGTGCCTGGGGGCCTGGGGCCTGGTAGGTGGCTCTCAGGTCCAAGCCTCCACTGACCCCTACCCCTGCCCCTTGGCAGGCCTCTTGCTGGCTGGCCTCCCCGCTGGCTCATGCCTGCTTGCTGCTCATCTCCCTTTACCTGGTAACCCTGCCAACACCCTTCCCTTCCCTGCCCCCAGTGCGCACAACCCCATCCTCTCCCTCAAATTTCTTCCTCCCACCTCTGTGATTCAGCCATCAAATGGTGACAGCAAAAAAGAAATGATGTACAATAGGCACAGGGGGTGGGCACACAGGAGGGGGTGGGGGGAAGGCTGGCCTTCCCCTAGCCTGGTAGGGGGGTGTTGAGAGGAAGCACAGCATGGCCCTCTGGGGCTCCGAGGCCTCCTCATCCTGGCCCTTGCCCTTGGCAGTGGGCACTGGGGAGGGGCTGGTTTCCCTGAGAGGAGGCTCAGAGCTGGGTTCGGAGTTGGCTCTGAACCCTGGGATGGGCTGGCAGGGTAGGAGCCTGGGAATCCCAGTAAGCCTGTGGGAAGTGACCTGAAGCTGGCCTCTGTCTCAGCTGCCCCCCAGGCCCACCAGGGTTTCCACTAATGCAGTGAGGGCCTGGGGATCAAAAAGGGGGCAGGAGGAGGGGATTGGGAGGAAAGCCACTGCGCTGGGCCAAGCTGTAGATTGTTATCAAGAACAGGAAGCCAGGATACCACAGGAGTGGGGGGGAGGAAGCAGGCGAAGCTCCCCGGCAGTGGTCTGCTGCTGCCCCCAGGTTCCCCGGCCTGAGCCTATTGGCTGGGAGCACACCCCCTGCCCTCACCAGGCTGGGTCCCGCAGGGCTTCAAGGAGCGGAAGCTGCGAGCCAGGAGATGGGGAAGGTGGGGTGAGGTGGGTCACGGCTGAGCAGGACCCCGAGGGTCTCTCAAGTCCCTCGGGGTGGTCTGGGTTGGGAGAACAGTCCCTCTTTGCCTCCCGACCCTACCTCACCCTGCTTAGAAATGCCAGGACGTCCGTGGAGGTGAGTGACCAGAGCTCAGGGGGGTGAAGGTGCCGCCACAAACCTCAGATGGCACAAGGCATGGGTCATCCTGCAACTGTCCCTTCCCAGGCCGGGGCCGGGGACACTCTCCTCTGCCTGCTCCAGAGTGGACCCTGCTTGTCCAGGCTGCTGGGAGGGGGAAGGCCGGGAGGCCCCTGGGAGTGACTTCCCATCCAGAGCCTCCCCTGTTCCTGGCATGGAACTGTGCAGATAGCGCTCAGACCGTCATCACGCCAATGGCTGAATTGCATTCCAGAGCTGGGGTTTAGGTGCCACCCACCCTCAACTCCAGAGAAAGTGTAGCAATAGTTGGATGCCAGGAAGACCTGGGCACTGTGGCTCTGACCTGCTTGTTAGCCGTGTGACCCTTGGCGAGGCCCCGAGCCTTCCCACATCGGGTTCCCTCCTCCCTGGGGCGCTGCTAGCAGGCCTTGGTCCAGTGGTGTGAGGCCTGTGAGGTGCTGTGCACCCGTGGAGTGCTGAGGGGGCTGTCAGCTGAGAAGGGGCCGGGGACGTGTCTGGGTGGAGGCCCCGGGGGTCCCTGAGTCTTGTTTCTCGCCAGACCCCTCTTCCTTCCCACTGCGGTTTGCTCCAGCTGGCCCTCAGGGTGAGGGCAGCCTGGGGCACACTCCCCCACTCTAACTGGTCCCCAGTTCCAGGGTGGCCAGCCGCAACTCCCTGTCCCCAGGGCCAGGAGCCCCTTGGAGGGGTGGGGGGGTCTGGGACTCCCAGAAGTTCTTGTTCCTGGCAGCACCTGGGAAGCAGCCCACACCACAGCCGGCCCCCAGAGTTAAAGACCGCCACCCTATGAAATTCCAAAGCAGACCATCTGGGGAACTGGGAGAGCTGCTGGGACAGGACTCCTGGGTCCTGTTTACCCGCCATGGCTCAGGCCCCTCCCTAGACCCTTTGCTTCTCTGTGGAGAAGCCCTGGGACCCCTGGTCCTCCCACACTCCCCCTCCCCCAGGTCCTGGGCAAGCCCAGGCCGGCTTCCGCAGCGATGTTCCAGGTCCCAGCTTGTCGTTGGCTGTGTGGGGGGCACAGAGACACGGGATCGGACGCCTCACCCGGGAGAAGGCAGGGAGACACCGGAGGAGACTGGTGGCGAATAGGGCAGAGCAGTGAGGTAGGAGGTGTGGACGGGAGTCCGGGCCAGCCGCGTGAGGGCTCAGAGAGGAGGGCGACCCTCCACCCCATGTCCTGGGCCCCGCCTGCCTCCGTGTGGGCCGGTGCGGGCGCCCCCCCCCACCCGGTTTCCCCGACACCTTCTGGGTGCCTGCTGGGGAAGGGGACTTTCCCGTACTCCGCACCCCCGACTGAAGGATCAGCCCAGCCCGCCCAGAGCGCCAGGGAAGAGCCTGTTCTTTGCCAGGTAACCGGGGCTCAGATCCCTGCTAGGAGAACTTAGGGATAGAAGAGGCCCTCCCCATCTCCCAGGCGGAGCCGGTGGGATGGGATCTGCGCCGCCACCTGGCCCTTTCTCCTCGGGGGCCCTTCTGTCTCCCTCCCCCCTCCGTGATGTCCCAGAGGCCCACGTGTGCACACAGCTGCCCACATGTGCACATCCATCCAGACAGGTATGTGCACCTGCACGGCTCCTGCGGGCACACAGTGTGTTGAAGCACACTCCTCGCCCACCTGCTGTTTGCGCCCCTTGCTGCCCTCCCACAGCCCGGACAGAGGGATCTGGGTCTGCCCCTCCCTGCTGACCTTCCTGAGGGCGAAGGTGTGGGAGGGAGAGCGGGAGACTTGGCTGCCCAGGGCCTCACTGCCTGGTGATTATCTTCCCCAGTGTCGGGTCGCAGAGGCCTGGCTGTGGGGGGTGGGGGGAGGGCCCAGGAGAGAGCTGCCCCGCTGCCGCTGTAGGGAGACACTGGGAAGCTCACGTTTGGGAGCCAGGACGCCTGGACCTGCCCCTGGCCTCCTGGTCTCCTGGCCTCCTGGCTGGCTCTCTCCCGAATCACTAAGGTACGTTGAGACCTCAGGAGCACCCCAGGGAGAGGATGTGGGTTTGTCTGTGGGAGTTGTTGCCAGGGAGGAGACACAGCCCTGGGGTACTTTTTTTGCTGGATGGAGAAGCCTGGGCTGGGGAGGCTGCTTCTTACTTCCCCGGAGCCCCTCTCCCATCCCGGGGCTGCCCCAGCCGCTGGGGGGCTGGCAGGTGTGCCCTCTGTGGTCAGGTTCTGTCCATCGGACTAGCTGTGGAGTCTGTGCTGTCCCAGTAGGTGCTTCTTTTATGGGGGCTCACGGGAAGGCTCTGAGACACCCCCTTACCTAAACCGTGTCTTGCTGCATCTCTTCTGCTCAGATCCTGGTTCAGGATCTCGCACCCCACTTCTCCCCTTTGCTGCTGCTGAGACTCTGCCAGAAAGCGCACAGTGAGGCGCCCCAGGTGAGATGGGGTGGGGAGGGATGCCGGTAGGGAGCCCCCCATCCCTGGCCAGATCTAGACCTTCTCCCTTTCACATCAGTTTTCCTAGTTGCTCCCCACCACCTCTTCTGAAAGTGCACTTGCGTGCATGTGTACACACACACACACACACACGCACGCATGCACACACGCACATGCACGCACACACGCATGCATGCACGCACGCACACACACGCATGTACACGCACACGCACACATGCACACACACAGAGCCTGGAAAATCTGATGAGCAGGCAGTGTTGAGTTTCCAGGCCCCCACCCGGAGGCCAGGTGGGTGGCTTGAGGTTTGGGGCTGGGGTGGTAGTGGGGGGCAGGCAGCCCCTGGCTGATCTCTATGCAGTCCTGGCCCCCCGCCCAGGCTGGCCCGGAGAGATGGGCTCCCACAGTGGCTGACTTGGTTTCAGGGTTGCTATGCCTGCCTGTCTCCTGCAGATTCCCTGTCTCTGCTTCCGGAGAGAGCACCTGAGTCCCCGGCTGCTATCCCAGGGCCCAGAGCCCTTTCTCCTCCTGCCCATCCCCCCTCCCCCGTCTCCTCCCTGCCCCATCAGCTGTCTTGGGGTGGGGGCACACAACTGGCTCTAGGCTGGGGTGAAGTGAAGCCTCAGGCGGTGTCTTCTAGGACAGGCTCAGGCAGGCTCCCCAGGCCCCCCAGTGCCTGCAGTTAGGTGGGGCTGGCAGGGGGCAGGGGGACCTGGTAGGCACTGCTGATCTAGGCAGCAGACATGGGCTAAGCAAGCAGGAATCCTAGGCACTTGAGCAGCTGAGAGGATCCGACTTGAGGGGTCAGGAGCAGGACTTGTCCTCTCTGCTCAGTGCGACCAGCGGCAGGTTCAGGTCCAGCTCCTTGCCTTACATGTTGTAGGGTCCGGGCTGGGCTCTTCCCGTCTCTGGTATCACTGTCCTTATCTGGGTAGTGACAGCATGGGCGCAGATGGGCCCCAGGGACCATGTGGACTCTTCTAGATCTGTGATTGCTGTGACTCAGGGCCTTAGGATGTGATCCTGTGCCTGTCCAGAGCATGGTGCCACATGGGTCTACAGAAGGGGACACACATATTCATAGCTGGTCTATGCACTCCACATGCAGTAACACACATCCCCACAATGTCCCCAGGACCCTCTGCCATGCCCTACCATGGGGCACAAACCCCCTCTGTATCTCCCACGTGCTGATAGAGCCGACAGAAGCACACCCTTCTTCTGGGGTCAGGGAGCGGGGGCCAGCTGCCTCTGCCGTGTGCCCACCTGCAAGGCCGTCTCTTCTCCTGGTCTTCCCCAGGAGCACAGGACATTTCCTCCCTGCAAAGCCATCTGTTGGCGGTGGGATGGAGGTGGAGGGAGAGGCGGGCTGGTCTTTAGCCTGGCAGTGGCAATCCCCTTCCACCTCCCGGCCCCAGAGCCAGTCCTTGGCCCTCTCCCCTCTCCCTTCATGGCGCCCTGCCAAGGCTGGGTGGATGGTGGGTGGGTGTCAGGGTCTGGGACTGAGAGGCAGCCCCTCCTGGCTGCCTGCTGCCTCCCATCTGCCTGAACTTGGCTTCCTGTTCCTGCCAGCCAGCCAGCCAGCAGGGCGAGGGGAGGGGTGAGTGGGACTGGCTCCTTCCCTGCTGCCTCCCAGCTTTCCTTTGCAGACATCAGGATGAGGCCGCCAATCCTGTTCACCGCCCTCCTCCGGCTCCAGGGCTTCTTGGCCAGGATAAGGTGGGCACTGGGGGCAGATGGACGGGTGGCCCCCACAGCTGGTCTGCATTAGGCAGAACAGAGGCCATTCCTTCCCACCCACCAGCACATGGACAGCGAGAAGTCGGCCCCTGCCTGCCAGGGCTGCCTCAGCTCCTGGGGTCCCCCTTTGGCCCTGCCTAGGGGAGTGTCAGACAAGGGCACAGCCTCCTCGCCGGTCCTGGCCCTGTCCCCCACTGGCTCACAGAGGCCTGGACCCCAGGGACCTCTGCCCATCTTCACCCACCTCCCTCCCCTTCTTCTACAGGAAGATAAGTGCCACTCCGTGGAAGGTGGCCCAGCCGGCAGAGTGGGGGCAGGTGCCTGTGGTGGGGGATGGAGGTCTGGGAGGTGGGGAGTGGGGTGCAGGGCCAGTTGCTCCATGCTGACCCTGCCTCTGCTCTGGCCCTCTTTTACCTTCCCTACTTCTTTAGGGTGGAAGGGGTGTTGGAAGACTCTGCATACACCCTGTTTTCCCCTCCGAAAAGGGACCACCTCTGAAAGTGAATGTCAGCAGCCAGGGGAGGCCTACTAGCCTCTTTCTGAGCTGGGCAGCCCCAGCACCGGGCAGCTTCAGCCATGCCCTCTGCCTCGCCTGTCTGAGCCCTCCAGAAGGGCAGCAGCTACAGGCCCACACCAACACGTCCAGCTTTGAGTTCCAGCACCTGGTGCTAGGAAGCCACTACTTGCTGGAAGTGACTGCCCTGCGACCCTGTGGGCAAAAGGCCACCGTCATCGTCACTGCCCACACTGGTGTGTGGCCTGCACACTGTGGGCTGGGGAGAGGGGAGCTGTGTGTGGGCATTGCCTGGGGTCCAAGCAGAAGGTGCCTGCCCTGGAGGGTTGGCAAGGGGCAGGGTAGCCAAGGAGGGTAACTTCTCTAAGCGTCATGCCTGGGGCAGTGACCTATTTAGGAGAACTAGAAGCAGTGAGGTGACGCCCTTTGGCCCTGAACTTGGTGCTGCTCTCTGCCTCCCATACAGCCCCGTCGACTGTCTCTGACCTGCAGCTCTGCAGTCCTGGGAGCACATCTTGCCTGGAGGCCTCATGGGGTGCTGCCGCCGGGGAAAGGGTGGTGACCAACTCCTCCTCCACCTGGAGTCCCAGACATTGGTACATAATACCTCCATGCCCCCGGGTACCCTGTCCTACAACTTCAGTGGCCTTCTACCAGGTAGCGAGTATGTTTTAAAGGTCACTATCAGGACTGGCAACCTCCATGTGGAGGGCCGCACCCACCAGTGGACAGGCCAGGTAGGCACGTGGGTGGGGTGCAGCCATCTGGGAGTCATGGGGCAGTCCAGAGCCTCACAGCCAACGATGTCCCCACGTGGTCAAGCCTGGCTTTGCTTTCTCCATCTTGCCTCCAGCTCCTGTGCCTCCAGATCAGCTGGTGCTGTGTGTCCTGGGCCCCACTGCCTTGTGAGCCTCTTGGAATGGCTCTGATGGGGCCACTTGGCTCCCCCTAGCACTCACAGACCTCCTAGGTGGCAGTCACATGACTGCGGTGGTCCGAGGGGGGGCCTCCAATCACACCTTCCCTCACCTCTCTCCAGACACCCCCTGTGAGCTGACCGTGAGTGTTACTGCCGGGCCGCAACGGGCAGTGGGGCTCAGTGCCACTGAGTGGACCTGTGAGTGCTTAGGGGTTCAGGGGGACATAGAGAATCCTTAGCTCTTCCCTGGCCAAACAGGCAGAATGCAACTAGGGATGGGGGTCTCTTGGAATCCTGCCAGGAAGGGTTGAAGCTCAGAGGGAGTGCCCCTCCTGTTGGCTGGTGGTGGGTACCCCCCCAACCAGAAGATGATGGTGCTGTAATTTAACATCAGTGGAAGCCTTCTACGGGCAAGCCTCTGTGCTAGCACTTAGTGTATCATCTCATTTCATCCTCAAACCATTCCAGTGTAGTCACATCGTCCCTACTTCTGGGTAAAGGAACCAAGGTTCAGAAAGAGAAAGGACCTGAGGTCAGAGAGCTTGAGTAGCCAAGCTGATATGTGCCTGGGCAGGATGCCTGCAGAGCTCACAGTTACCTGGTCGCATTTTTGCTCAGAGGAACACTGTTTTGAGTGGTGAAGAGTGAGGGAACCAGGCTGCCTGGGTTCTGAATCTCCTTTCTGCCACTCATGCTCTGGGGTCTCTGGACAAACTGCTCATCTTCTCTGTGCTTCCGTTTCTGTGTCTTCAGAGGGAGATAGCAGTGTCCTCTTTGCAGTGCCCGAGGAGTGAATGTGAGATGCTGTGTGTGGGCCGTGCTGGCGTGAACACTCGACCATTTGATGTGTTATCATTTCTGTTGTCATCCATGGCCAGGTCCTGGGATTCACTCAGAATGTGGCAAAATGGTGGCTGCCAGCGTCTGGATGAGATGTGGTCCAGTGTTAATAGAAAGAAGCTGGCACAGGGAAGGTAGAATTTTTCTCATCTGCTGTTTAGGTCTTTCTGCACATATTCGCTCCCTTTTTCCCCAAATCGCTCTTCCCCACTGGACCTGGAGCTCACTCCCCTGCCCCCAGAACTCTGGGCAAGCTGGAGGGCAGGGCCTGGTGCCCGGGATGGCTAGCTGCTCAGGCTGAGTGGGCCAGAGGAGAACCCCACTCTGAGCCCGGGGGCCCTTAGTGCCACATTCCCAGGGTCCCTGCCTGCTGGACTCGGTGCTCTGGAGCTCAGGGTTCTGGCTGGGCCCAGGCCAGTGCCTGGCTGGCTGGTGGGGCACAGGGTGGGGTCCTGCCTAGCGGCACCTGCATTAACAGGCTGGAGGCCACCAGGAGGCAGGCAGAGCTCTACACTGAGGAATCCCCAGGCCTCCTTGGAGACATCCCTGGGCCAGCTGGTGCCACCCAGGGCACTTTCCATGGGCTGGTGCCTGGGGCCCCATACCAGGAGGACACTGTCTCATCTCTGGGAAGCACCACCCCGAGCACCACAGGCCATATGAGTGCGTGCTAGCTAGTGTGTCCCCTGACCTCGGCGCTGAGGCCTTGCTTGTGGGGTAGATCTGGGCAGAGGACATGCTCAGGAGAGCTGCGAAGGGACGTCCAGGGCCACAGACACTGTGTGGCCCCCTTGCCAAACTCCACTCTCTTCAGGGCCCCTGACACCACAGTCACTGGAGGTCACCAGCAGGGGCAGCCTCACTGACTTGGCTGGGCCCCAGCATTGGGGCCGTGGGAAGGCTACAGGGTCAGCTGGCATCAGGAGGGCAGCCAGAGGTCACCAGGCAGTCTTGTCGACTTGGGCCCAGATAATTCCAGCCTGATGCTGAGGGGTCTAGTGCCCGGCTCCTGCTACGCCATGTCAGGATGGGCCTGTGCAGGGAACCTTAGCTCCAGTATCCAGCGGGCCCATGGCTGCACCCGTGAGTTACAGCCGCAGCCTATGGGAGGCCAGCCCTGGGTGGTGGGGGTGGGACCAGCTTCCTTTACTCTCTGCCTTTCTGCGCGCCATGTTCTTGATTCAGAGGGCCATGTGTCTGCCCAAGGCGGGGCCTTTCATGAGTCTATTTGCAAGCATTTTCTGTGTCTTTCCATCCGGTCAGCCATCCATCTGTCCATTCAGCCACCCATCCATCCTTCCAATGATTATTTAATGCCATTTTTTTAGATATGGGGCTAGGTGCTGAGGCTAAAAATTATGAACAAGACAGTTTAGAAAAGAATACTGACAAGTGAACATACTGCATATGTATGTAAAAATTGTAATTACATATACAATTTCTATATATATATTATAAATGCATTGATAGGAAAATGCACATGGCATTTTGAACCCTATGAAGCTCTGTTCGTGTAGGCTGAAGTTGATGACTGTTGGGAATTGTATGTGGTTCAGTCTAATCTTTTAGACTCGCAGACGGGCCCCCTGCTTAGGGAGTTAGGAGGGCTCCCTGGAGGAGCAGGGCGAGCTGGGCAGCATATGGGTCTGCATAGGAGGGGCAGAGGGGGTCTTTCTCAGGGGCTAAGCATGCACCAAGGCCCGCAGAGAAGAGAGAGAAGGAGACAGAGACAGAGATGGAAGTACATGAGCTTGCAGGAACTGAGTGGCAGCAAATGAATGGGAACGGGGGTCCTGAGGGTCCCAGGAGCAGGCAGGGACCATGTGACCTCAGGGGGCTGCATCTGGGGAGGAGGCTGGGGGCAGGCGCCAGGGCGAGAACCATGTCTTTCAAGAGGTTTTTCTGGGAAGGAAAAAAGAGTGGGCCTGGATCCCTGTGGCAGCTGGATCTGTAGGCTACCAGTGTCTGGGGCTTGTTTGGCGATGGAGCAGAAGGGCACAGGTAATGGGCAGAGGGAGGTGGGGGAGGTAAGGGCAGGAGATTTGGGTCTTTGCAGATAGGCTTCCTCCTTGACCTGGCAGTGCCTGCTCCTCCTGCCAGCTTGAGCCTGGGCCTTGCTGCCCAGCCTCCTGCCCTGACGGCTTCCTGGAGTCCTCCTCCTGGGGACAGGGGTGGCTTCCAGATGCAGCTTTTCTGCCTGAGGCCCCTGACTCTGGAAAGTGAGCAGATTCTGGGTCCTGAGGTTCAGAACTTCTCCTGGGCCCAGCTGCTCCCAGGCGGCCAGTTCCTGGTGCAGTTATGCACCAATAACAGCGGCTGCACCAACGCCACGGGCTGGATGTGTGAGTGCCCTCCCACAGCCTTCCTTATGGCCCCCCTTGTCTTAGGGCTCCCAGGGGGCTGCCTGTCCCCCTTAACCTCTTTGCCATCTGTGGGCAGGCAGCTGGGCTGACTGGGGCACACACCAGCACAGGGTTGTTCCCCCATCCTTAGATCCCATTCCCCCGACAGGGTCCCGGCCCTTCCGTATCCTGGGAGGTGGGCAGAACCTGGAGGCTTGTGCTTGGGTGGTGGCCATGGTCCATGCTCCGTCACGGACAGTCATTGGGGGGCAGGGAGCAGTGGGTCCTGGCCAGGACCCAGCCTCTGGCCCCACCTGGGCTCTGAGGTCGACAACAGAATAGCTCATGTGCACCGAGCACTTTGTAACGTGTGCCACCTGAGTTCTCTTATTTAATCCTTGTAGCATCAAGCTTAGGGGACAGATGCTATGGCCATAGCCACTTCCTATATAAGGGAACTGAGGCACAGAGAAGGAAGGTAACGTGTCCTGGGTTCCTCAGGCCTAACTGGGAGCTTGGAGTGACATTGCACAGTGTGATGTGGTGTCCACGCTCCTGCCACACGCCAACCCCAGGGAGGGGCAGGGGCAACTGAGGGCCGAGGAGAGTCCTACAATTACCAAAGCACAGGGCCCGCTGGGAGTCAGGGAGCGAGGTTCTGTCCTCCTCCCTGAAGCCCCTCTCATGCTGGCCTGAGCCCTCCTGCCTTTTCTGCTTGCTGGGTCCTTGGTGGAGCTGAAGAATCGCTGGGGCCCCCTCAAACCCCTTCTCCAATGTGGGGGCTCTCCCACCCCTGCACTGCCCTGATTCCTCTCAAGGACCCTGAGGCCTCAGACAGGCCTGGGAGGGAGCCAGAAAGGGCTCTGGCCTAGGAGGCAGGAGACCCGAATTCTAAGTGTGGCTCAGTCCCTAGAGCAAGCCTTGGTACCCACCAGCCTCAGTTTCCCTGTTTACAAAGGCAGTGTTGACGAGGTGACTGGGCCAGGCTGCTGTGACTCCAGGTCCTGGGGCTCAAGCTGAGGGTGGGCAGCACTGCCTGGGCCCACAGACACCTGCCTGCCCTTCAGAGTCCTGCTCACCACTTAGAGGCTTTAAAAGCTGCTTGTGTGCAGGGGCTGGGGCTGGCAAAGGCACTCGCCTTGGCTGTCACACTGCCCAGTACAGCTCTGCGAACGGGAGGGGCACTGGGGTGCAGAGACCAAGTGGTCGGCTTATGTGTCCGGCACTGTTTGAGCATGTGCTCTGCCGGCCGGGGCAGGAGGAGAACCCTGCTGTTGTGGGGCTCACTGTCAAGGAGAATATCGGGCTCACCTGCTGCTCTGAACCGGTGTGTCAGGCCCTGGGTGTTTCCTGGTTGGGCCGAGAATGGACAGGGAGGAGGGAGCCAGAGACCTGCTGGCAGGCTTTCCTCCTGCGATAGCTGCTGGGGCAGCTGTAGCAAAGCGCCACGGGCTGGAGCTTTAAACAGCTGACCTTTACTGTCGCGCAGTCTGGAGGCCGGCAGTCCACGATCCAGGTGCGGGCAGGGCTGGTTTCTCCCGAGGCTTGTTCATGTCTGTGTTCCCCCTGTGTTCCCACCTGATTGTCCCTCTGGGTGTATGTGTGTCTAATCTCTTCTTATAGGGACACCAGGCATGTTGGATCAGGGCTCCCCTAATGACCTCAATTTACCTTAACTACTTGTGTAAAGACCTTCTCTGCAAATACAGCCACATTCTGAGGTCCTGGGGGTTGGGGCTTCAGCATGAATTCTGCCCATAACAACTCCCTTTGCCCTCCCCCCCTTTCCTGCAGCTCCCCTCACCCCTCTGCTAGTAAATGTGACCAGTGAAGGCCCTACCAAGCCCCGGGTCTCCTGGGTCCATGCTCCTGGGGGGCAGGATGGCTAGCAGGTGACCCTGTCCCAGGCAGGTGCCCAGGCGGGCACCAGCACTCCGGGAGCCGAAGAGGACAGCCCCAGCTTTTGGCTCTGACTCCGGGCACCCAGTACCATGTGCAGCTTGTCTCCCAGGCTGGGCCCCTCCACGCTGCGCCGACCACTGCCTCTGGCTGGACTGGTGAGTGGGATGGGAGGGTGGGAAAGGCGGTGCGGGGAGGAGCAGTGGGAAGGGCTGCTTCTGAGACCCCCAGGCTCTCCTCTCAATGGCACCTCAGCCCTTGCTTTTCATCCCATTTCCTGACCTCTGTGCCCCAGGGCCCTTCATAGGCTCACCCCTCTCCTTCCCCCCCACAGCCCCACGCATGCCCAGTGAGATGCTGGTGTCCATGCAGGCAGGCAGTGCGGTGATCAGCCTGGCCTGGGCCAGTGGCCCTGTGGGGCAGGGGGCCTGCTGCGCCCGACTCTCAGAGGCAGGGCGCCTCTCCTGGGAGCAGCCTCTGGAGCTAGGCCAAGCCTGCCTGGTCCTGAGGGCCCTCACACCGGGGCACAACCTCTCCCTATCTGTGCTGTACCAGGCGGGGCCACTCCACGTGGCCATGCACCTGGTGGTGCTGCCCGTTGGTAAGTTGGCATCTGTTGGGGGTGGATGGAGGCGCTCTGAGAGGCAGGCCCCAATCCAGGTGAGGGTCCTGAGCCACATGCTCCTCCCAGGTGGGCATTGTGCCCACCCTGCCCTGGGGTTATGCTCCTGAGGCTTCCCCAGAAGGGCAGAGATGGCCAAAGGGGTGGATGCTCCAGAGTACCGGTGCTCCTGTCTGTGGACAGAAACCCCAGCCCCTTGCCCCTGCTGATTTGGAGAGCCCCTGACCTACAGGTCATATTCTTGGGGTATACAACACACACACAATGTAGAACCTTGGATTCCTGCACATCGTGGAGAATGTGCAGTGCTAGCCCGAAGCCACCCACCTGGCCCTGAACTGGGTGGTGCCCGCGGGGCTGTCGGCACCTGTCTGGTGGTGGCAGAGCAGCTGGCAGTGGGAGGGAGTGCTCACTGGGTCTTCCAGGCCCACACCTCTGGGGGTGCTCTCCTGTTGCCCGGCCTGGTGCCTGCCACCTCCTACCACCTCAGCCTCACTGTGCTGGGCAGGGATGGTCTGTGGCGCCAGGCAGTCACCCTGGTGTGCGTCACTGTGGCAAAGGGTGAGCCCCGTCCTCACCCCCAAGGCCCCGCACCAGCCTTCCTCCATCTTTGGCCCCCAGGGGTATCACTCCCCAGCCCCCCACTTCCAGGAGGCCCCCTGTTCCAGGCCCCAGCCCTTTCCTCTGACCCTGATCCAGAGACCACACTAGTTTGGTGCCATATTTTGAGTCTTGGGGTGCCTGGCACCCTGATCTGCGATCTTCTCGTTCCTATTTAGTCGTTTCTGTCAGCTACTAGTTGCCAGGCACTGTGGGGGGTGTGAGGGCATGTGCTCTGCCCTTGGACACTGGTTGTTAGGCACCTGGTTGGAACCTCAGTCTCCCCCTCCCCATCCCCAGCCTGGCACCCCCCAGAGGTAGCTGCAGCCCCTGAGCTGGGGCCCGAGACGGGCATGGGAGTGATGAGCGCACAGGGCATGTTTGGCAAGGATGGGCAGGTCCAGTGGCACGGTGTGATCGCCACCACCAGCATGTCCCGTGAGTCCCGGGCCCCAGACTGGATGGGGAGATGCTAGCTACTGCCTAGCGTGGGGTGGGCGAGGGGGCTCCAGACCCTGGGACGGGAAGGTGAAGGACCTAAAGCCCATGTGGGTCCTCGAGCACAAGACACTCTTGAAGACAGAGCTGATGGGGCATCAGGAATGGTGTGAGTGTGCTAGAGACATGGAGCCACCCCTCTGTGGTGGGGAGAGTGCCTAGGGACCACTGTGGCCCCTGCACTGCCCCTTCCTGTTCCTCCCGCAGCGCTCGGCCTCCCCAGGAAGCCATCAACCACACGTGGTTTGGCCAATGCTGCAGAGGACATGACTCCTGCCTGGCCATTGTGCTTCCCAGCCTCTTCTGCCCGGGGCCCTGGGCTGTGCTGAGATCCTGCATGGAGCCTATGGGTACAGAGGACTGTGGCCAGACCCAGGAGATGTGTCAGGGGCTGCTCAAGCCAGGTTCCCAGTATCGGTGAGGGCTAAGGCTGCAGGGAGGGGGGAACCATTGTCAGTTTCATTTACGTGTTGTTGACACATTCTCTCAGCAGAGGGTCTGACTGACTCACAAAGAGAAAACGTGCTGGTCTGTAAGGGTCAATAGAGTTATTTTGACTGGGCTTCCTAGTAAGCAAGGCAAAAAGGGGGATACCCATCTGTTACGTGGTTCTTTCTTCAGAAAAGAACAGGGACTGGAATCTGTCGCACCTTGCCAAGTCAGTGCCAAAGGTCTCCAGGTACCTATTTCTAGGCTGCTTCTTGCTCTCAGAATAGGCAGGGAAGATGGAAGAGAAACTAGGGGCGCTGGTTCCGCAGTTTCAGGTAGCACCACACATAGCCTCCAGACAGGAGAGGCAGTCTCACTGTCTGAGTGTCTGTTGCTCATGACTCAGTTTCCTGGGAGGGGCTTTGCCCTCTGTGCCTGCCTCTCCCCAGCACGAGGTCCTTTTTCTCTGCCCCAGGTTCAGGGCTGTGGGCTTTGCCAGGTACAGCCCTCCTGAGACTGTTATCTGCTTCTCAGGCTTCTCAGGTAGGGTGGACGCCTGGCTAGGGTTCCACTGGGTCCTGGGGTGACGGAGGTGTTCTGGCACCCGCTTCTGAGGCTCATCCCCAACCAGTAGCAGGAAGGACTGAGCTCAGACTCCAGGGAGAACACAGCCTACCTGGCTGAGCTGGGAGACCTGGAGCCAGTGAGGAAGGTGCCTCTGGCCCCAGACTTGGCCTGGGTGGGTGGAGGGGGTGGGCATGGAGGCAGAGGCATCCACAAAACGGTTTCCTGCTGCCCTGTGCTGCCCTCTGCACCCTGCTGCCTCCAGGCTGCCGGGGTTCTAGAACAGCACCGCCCAAGAGAAACATCAGACACAAGTGAGAATCACACGTGTGGTTTAAGATTGCCTAGTAGCTCGACAGGTGAAATTAATCTTAGAAACGTTTCATTTAAACCAAAATATCAAGACTGCTATTATATCAGTAGGTAGTCAATTTGTAAATATTATTAATGAGACATTTTACATTTTTTTATTACTAGGTCTCTGAAATCCTGTGTGAATTTTACACTTAGGGCAAATCTTCATTTGGACCAGCCACATTCTAAATGCTCAGTAGCTACACGTGGCTGGTGGTCACTGTATGGAGAGTCTTGTCCAGAAGGTCCAGGAAGTCAGGCCTCTACCCTGTTATTTTCTTTGAGGGCATCAGGTAGGGGAGCAGGGTCTTTGGGGTGTGCCAGGAGCTGGGGACAGGGAGAGTTTCCTGGGTGTTCTTGGCCCCCACCCAGGATGGGAACCTTTTCTGGCCTCAGTCTGGGACTTCTGGGGGTGAGAGCTGTCACTGTGTGCCCTCCACCCAGGTAGTCTCAAATCCAGGAGAGGTTGGCGGGCAGTGGGACACGGCTGTTACGCCCCTTCCTTCCCTTGCCCTCCATAGAGCCCCGGGCCCGTGTCTCCCAGGCAGCTATGCCCCTCGCAGCAGTGGTGGGCCTTGTGGTGGCCTGTGTCCTCACTATCTGTGCTGTGCTGGGCCTGCTGTACTGGGGATGCGTGAAGGGGCAGAGGTCAGCTGGGGGAGGCTGGGGTCATGGTCTGGGGGGATCCCCAGCTGCACATGCCCATGTGGGCTGGAGGAGGGGCGGCATCTTCCCCAAGAGGCCAGGCCCACCACCCTCCCACCCTCTTCAGCCTGCCTCAATCAGGCCTCTTCATCCTTTGCAGAGTGGAGAAGAATCGGTTTTCCCAGGAGCTGACCGCTTACAACCTGCGGTGGGAGCACCTGCCCCCGTCCCACCCCTCCCCACGGCGGGGTGGGCAGCATGGCCCTGCCTTCTGTGGGGGTAGGGGCGTTGCCAAGTCTCTGCTTCTCTGGGACTACATCCCAGATGGGGGCTGCCAGCCTCGGCCCGTGAGTGCTCCTTCCTCGGCCAGCGTCACCCCTTTGTCACACCTTCTCACAGGGCCTTTCTGCAGGCCTGGCGCCCTCCTGGCCCCCCCCCCCGCCACCCAGCCTCCTCCTGCTCCATCCCCTGCCCTCCACCGAACTCATGCGCTCCAGTCCCTCGTCGCCCCTGACTAGCCACTCAGTGTGCACCAGGCCCGACCTCTTTTCCTTCCTTCTCTCCTGACGTCGGATCTGCGACTCTTCCTCTCATCACTCCTGTCCTTCCTTACCTTGGCTTCATGCTGAACCAGGCACGAGTGAGTGCCAGCTGGGCACAGAGCCCCCCTCAGAACCTGGCGACGGCTCTACGGGACTCAGGCATGCCCCTGCGTGCAGGTCTCGTCTGCGCTGTGCTCCTCCCTCCATCCCTCCGTCCCCTGTCCTCTTCCTTCACTGGTGATGCGCAGCCTGGACTGTGTGTCACAGGACTTTGCTCAGGGAGGTGGAGCCTGGTTGGTACTTGCAATGGATCCCAGCTGCTCCAGCACCCGCCTGAGCGCCGGGCAGGCCTCGTGCACCCAGGGCATCGGGCGTCCTGGCTCCCTCTCCCCCTAGGTGGACCCACCGGCCAATCCCCATTCATAACTCGCAGCAGAGCTTCAAGGGCAAGACTGCACATGCTCACCAGGCTTGCTTTCAGGAGTTTGGGGTAAGGCGTCTGCTGCCCATGGGCTCCAAGCAGAGAGGACCATGGGGCATTAAGGGTGGGCTGGACATGCCCTACCCCAGCCCCTCTCCAGGTGTGGGGCAGGGTGGGTCTGCTTCAGCCACCAGTGCCTGCCCCCAATCTCTGCAGGAGTTGAAGGAGGTGGGCAAGGAGCAGTCCAGACTAGAGGCTGAGCACCCTGCCAATGCCACCAAGAACCGTTACCCACATGTGCTGCCCTGTGAGTGCTGGGAGCAGGCCGGTGGGCATGGGCAGTGGGCCAGGGCCTGGCCTGGATGAGGGGGGCTGTGTGTGCCTGGTGCTGAGTGCATAGCCTCTGTCCCTGCAGATGACCACTCTCGGGTCGGCTGAGCCGTCTGGAGGAAAAGCCCCCTCTGACCAGTTAGTGCCAGCTTCATCCCAGTAAGAGCCGCCTGCAGGGCTGCGGCTGGTTCGCCAGGGGGATGGGCTGGTTTGCAGGTCACACCGTGGTGCCGTAGCTGTAGTAGCTCTCCATGCTCACCACCTAGGTAATCCAGCAGGTACTTACTGAGGGCCTAATTCGTGGGCCTGCACAAGGCCTGCCTTCAAAGGAGCACATGTTTGTAAGTGTGTGTCACATCTACCATACAGTGACAAGTGCTCTAATGAGCAAATGAGCATTGTCCTCAGAGCACATAGAGGAAGGAGAAATTTAGTGTATACCTAAGGAATCAAGAAAGGCTTCCTGGAGGAGGGGACATTTGATCTCTTGAAAGATGAGTAGAATTTTACTAAGTGATGAAGGAGGGGAAGGACATCTGTCTGGGAAGAACAGCCAGGGAGCAGCTGGGCAGGACTGCATGCGTGTGTGGGCGGGTTTGTTGGGTGGTGGGAGATGACACTGGAAACGTAGACTGGAGCTTGATTGCTAAGCTAAGGGCTTTGGGTTTTTATTTAGCAGGCAATGGGGAACGATGGAGGATTTTTGGACACGGAAAAAGCAGAGTGTTTTTTTAGCAAAGGGGCCGATGATGTGGGTGGACAGGGAGACTATTTCTGGCATGTCAGCATCTTACTATTTTCATGTAGATTTTTCTTGCCCCTTCCAGGTGGGGCTGGGTGGTGGTGGTGGTGGTGTCTACGAAGCCACGCCTCCTGCTTTGAGCACATGCGTTCATGTGTTCACGCAGGCATAGGCCTGCATAGCGTCCTCATTCCTGGAGATCACACATGGGGCGTTTACTGCCACCTGCCTGTGGGGCTCTGGGGACCCAAACTCCACCAATTAACATGTTCTTGTGCCCCACCCCTACAGGGGTATGCCCACCCATAGGACTTCACTGCTACCCAGGGGCTCTCGAGGAAACCCTGGAGGACTTCTGGCGGCCGGTGTGGGAGCAGCAGGTCCACATAACCGTCATGCTGACAGTGGGCGTGGAGAACGGGAGGGTGAGCACACCTTGCAGTTCCCCAGAACGGCCGCCAGGTGGCACATGCTCTCCGGCCGGAATGTTCCCCTGGTATCTTAGGTCTGGGAGGGTGGGTCAGGCAGGAGTGAGGCCAGTAGGGCCTGGGGCTTGGTAGGGGTCCCCGGGCCACCCGGTATGGGGAGACAGGGAAGGGGACCAGGTATTCAAGCTCCCAGTTTGACTCAGTTTCCACTGGCCTCTGCCATTTCTCATCATCTCCACTTGCTCCTGCTCTAGGCAGAGAAACAGCAAAGAGTTTAGGGGAAAGGTAGGGGTAAGGACTGCCCAAAGGTGGGCATCAGAAATAGGGCACTCTGCGTCCATCTTCCAGCAACCCTGGCGGACATCTCCTCTGGGCCTGCTCAGCGCGTGGCCCAGAGACGGGAACACCTGCTGGGTTTGTCCTGCGGCTGGAGCAGAGACAGGTCACGTGACCCTAAACCAGACCATCAGTTGTGAATAGGATCCTGGCAGTTTCTCTGACGTCCCAGGGGTCACATAAGAGGTCGGGGTGAGTGTGCTAGAGTCTCAGGCATGCCCCTGCGTGCAGGTCTCGTCTGCGCTGTGCTCCTCCCTCCATCCCTCCGTCCCCTGTCCTCTTCCTTCACTGGTGATGCGCAGCCTGGACTGTGTGTCACAGGACTTTGCTCAGGGAGGTGGAGCCTGGTTGGTACTTGCAATGGATCCCAGCTGCTCCAGCACCCGCCTGAGCGCCGGGCAGGCCTCGTGCACCCAGGGCATCGGGCGTCCTGGCTCCCTCTCCCCCTAGGTGGACCCACCGGCCAATCCCCATTCATAACTCGCAGCAGAGCTTCAAGGGCAAGACTGCACATGCTCACCAGGCTTGCTTTCAGGAGTTTGGGGTAAGGCGTCTGCTGCCCATGGGCTCCAAGCAGAGAGGACCATGGGGCATTAAGGGTGGGCTGGACATGCCCTACCCCAGCCCCTCTCCAGGTGTGGGGCAGGGTGGGTCTGCTTCAGCCACCAGTGCCTGCCCCCAATCTCTGCAGGAGTTGAAGGAGGTGGGCAAGGAGCAGTCCAGACTAGAGGCTGAGCACCCTGCCAATGCCACCAAGAACCGTTACCCACATGTGCTGCCCTGTGAGTGCTGGGAGCAGGCCGGTGGGCATGGGCAGTGGGCCAGGGCCTGGCCTGGATGAGGGGGGCTGTGTGTGCCTGGTGCTGAGTGCATAGCCTCTGTCCCTGCAGATGACCACTCTCGGGTCGGCTGAGCCGTCTGGAGGAAAAGCCCCCTCTGACCAGTTAGTGCCAGCTTCATCCCAGTAAGAGCCGCCTGCAGGGCTGCGGCTGGTTCGCCAGGGGGATGGGCTGGTTTGCAGGTCACACCGTGGTGCCGTAGCTGTAGTAGCTCTCCATGCTCACCACCTAGGTAATCCAGCAGGTACTTACTGAGGGCCTAATTCGTGGGCCTGCACAAGGCCTGCCTTCAAAGGAGCACATGTTTGTAAGTGTGTGTCACATCTACCATACAGTGACAAGTGCTCTAATGAGCAAATGAGCATTGTCCTCAGAGCACATAGAGGAAGGAGAAATTTAGTGTATATCTAAGGAATCAAGAAAGGCTTCCTGGAGGAGGGGACATTTGATCTCTTGAAAGATGAGTAGAATTTTACTAAGTGATGAAGGAGGGGAAGGACATCTGTCTGGGAAGAACAGCCAGGGAGCAGCTGGGCAGGACTGCACGCGTGTGTGGGCGGGTTTGTTGGGTGGTGGGAGATGACACTGGAAACGTAGACTGGAGCTTGATTGCTAAGCTAAGGGCTTTGGGTTTTTATTTAGCAGGCAATGGGGAACGATGGAGGATTTTTGGACACGGAAAAAGCAGAGTGTTTTTTTAGCAAAGGGGCCGATGATGTGGGTGGACAGGGAGACTATTTCTGGCATGTCAGCATCTTACTATTTTCATGTAGATTTTTCTTGCCCCTTACAGGTGGGGCTGGGTGGTGGTGGTGGTGGTGTCTACGAAGCCACGCCTCCTGCTTTGAGCACATGCGTTCATGTGTTCACGCAGGCATAGGCCTGCATAGCGTCCTCATTCCTGGAGATCACACATGGGGCGTTTACTGCCACCTGCCTGTGGGGCTCTGGGGACCCAAACTCCACCAATTAACATGTTCTTGTGCCCCACCCCTACAGGGGTATGCCCACCCATAGGACTTCACTGCTACCCAGGGGCTCTCGAGGAAACCCTGGAGGACTTCTGGCGGCAGGTGTGGGAGCAGCAGGTCCACATAACCGTCATGCTGACAGTGGGCGTGGAGAACGGGAGGGTGAGCACACCTTGCAGTTCCCCAGAATGGCTGCCAGGTGGCACATGCTCTCCGGCCGGAATGTTCCCCTGGTATCTTAGGTCTGGGAGGGTGGGTCAGGCAGGAGTGAGGCCAGTAGGGCCTGGGGCTTGGTAGGGGTCCCCGGGCCACCCGGTATGGGGAGACAGGGAAGGGGACCAGGTATTCAAGCTCCCAGTTTGACTCAGTTTCCACTGGCCTCTGCCATTTCTCATCATCTCCACTTGCTCCTGCTCTAGGCAGAGAAACAGCAAAGAGTTTAGGGGAAAGGTAGGGGTAAGGACTGCCCAAAGGTGGGCATCAGAAATAGGGCACTCTGCGTCCATCTTCCAGCAACCCTGGCGGACATCTCCTCTGGGCCTGCTCAGCGCATGGCCCAGAGACGGGAACACCTGCTGGGTTTGTCCTGCGGCTGGAGCAGAGACAGGTCACGTGACCCTAAACCAGACCATCAGTTGTGAATAGGATCCTGGCAGTTTCTCTGACGTCCCAGGGGTCACATAAGAGGTCGGGGTGAGTGTGCTAGAGTCAAGCCAGAGGAGTGAGGCTTCTGGACAAGGTGGCCTTGGAGCTGGGTCAGTATAGACAGCAGGATTTCAGGGTAACTAGACCAGGAAGATGTGTGGAGAGGGTTACAGCAGGGGTGGCAGTGATGAGGCCAGGCCCCCAGCTGCCCCCTCCACTCTAACCCTTGGCCCTACGTGCTGTGTGAGCATTAGTGGCCAGCCGACCCCACCCCTGTCACCTGTGGTCACATCACTGTCCACCTCCTGGCCGAGCAGGCCGAAGATGAGCGGACCCAGCTGCCGCACATGCGTGCCCGGGACAGGGTGGGGTGGGGTGGCCATTTGAGCTGAGGCCCTCAGAGAAGGTCGCCTCACCTCCTGGGCCCCTGGCCTCCTTCCTTCTGCGGGTCGCAAGCACTCGGCCGCTGCCCAGGGAAGCTGGTGGTTAGGGAAGAGGTGGGGAGGCACAGAGAGGGTTAGAGGTTTATCTCAAGTTTGCACAGTGAGTCGAATGCAGAGTGGGGCAAGAAGCGAAGGTTTCTGCCCTGCCCTGTACCCCACTTGGGCTCCCTGCTTCACCCCAAACCCTTGTGCCCCATCTGCCTTCTTGGGCTGTGGCCTCCTGGGGCAGGAAAGCCAGGGACCACATCACCCTCTCCCTGGGCCCTGGACACTCTCTATAACCAGCGGCTACCCAGGCGGCTGGAGGGCCAAGCTGAGCAGCCAGACTGAAGGGGGAGGCATCCCCCTCACTTGGTCTGGCGGGGGAGTTGAAGGCTGAGCAGAGGGGTCCTGGAGTCAGGAAGGGCAGCAGGGCCCTCTGTTCCCCTACGCCCGCTCCTTCCGCAGACTGCCCCGCAGCAATGGCGAGGGTGACGCCGCTGCAGTTCACCACCTGGCCTGACCGTAGCATCCCTGAGGCCCCCAGCTCCCTGCTCACCTTTGGGGACCTGCACGGGAGCAGCCCGCGAACCACCCAGGGTGCTGGACCCATCCTGGTGCACTGCAGGCGAGGGCAGGTGGGTGTGTGCTGGGAGGGCCCCTGCCTGGTCTTGCGTGGAGGAAGGCGGGAGGGGCAGAGTCGGGGACATGGGCAGCCCCTCTCCCATTCAGCTCCCCAGGGGCTGGGCGTGGGCTGCACGGGCACCTCTGTGGCCCTGTTGAGGCTCCTGCAGCAGCTGGAGGAGGGGGAGATGGCGGGCGTGTTCAGTGCCATGTATGTGTTGCAGCTACACCAGCCTCTCACGATCCGGCCTCGGCAAGGGCTCCCCAGGCCAGGGTGGGCAGCCAGCACCCCGAAGGGCTGGGAGGGAGCATGTGGCCAGGAGCCCCTGGGGACACACGGAGGACCCTGGGGGAGGGCTTAAACAGGTCCCCATCTTATCCAGGCCTCGTTCCCCAGCTGCCCAGGGGAGGTGAGGCGGGTGCCCGCTGGCTTTGACACTGGGGGGCGTGGGGACTCGCAGGTGTCCCCTGCCCATCTCTCCTCCTGGTAAGATGGAGAGATCTTCCTTCTGGGCTGCACTCCCTCAGCTCCACCTCCCCCTGCCAGAGCTGATGCATCTTCCTGCACAGCTGCCGCCTGAACAAGATTCTGGAAGGGCCCGCTGGCACCTCTGAGTCATAGCCCTTGTTGAGTGGGGGGCACAGGTTCCCTGTGTGCCCCTCCCCCAAGCAACAGGCCCCTGCCTCCTGTCTGCGGCCAGGGCCGAGAACACTGGAAGCATGGAGCTGGGGAGCCGTGAGGGCCTCGGCCCCCCTTGGCCCCTCCCTCAGGTCCCAGCCCACCTCTGTGATGAACTTGCACAGGTGTGCGCCGTGCCGGCAGCCCATACCAACGCTGGCGTCTTGCAGGAGTACGAGGTACGCATCCCGCCAGGGGTGGGTGATGGCTGAGGGGCCTTCCCCTGCCCAGCCAGCACCTCTGTGGGCCGGGTCCAGCCTCAGGGTGCCCATCTCTCCCAGCTCCTGCTCCGGGCCATCAGGGAGGAGGCTGGCTGTCCGGCGCCCTCTCCCAGCTGTGAGCAGGACAGCGCGGTCTCCTGTGAGTGCCCGTGGGCTGGGCATCCACCCGGCGGGGACCTCCCGCTGCTTCCCTCTCACCATCTTGACTCAGACCGCCATTCCCAAGCACCCCGATAATGAGGCGCTGGAGGCCTGGCCCTCCCTGTGAGACGGTGCCTTCTCTGACCATGTGTGCTTCCTGGGCCCAGGCCAGCATTTCTGGGTGCCCCAGAGCTGAGATGGGTGGGGGGCACCCTTGGTCCCCAAGAGCCAGCAAGCTTCGCTCTGCAGGCCTGGCCTTCTGGCCACAACCACGTAGTGCTGGCTGGACCCATTGGGCCAAAGGAGCCCTGGGAGCTGGTGTGGGATGGGAGCCCAGGGTCTGTGCTCTGGTGTCCCTGTGCCCACCAGACACCAGGGAGAAGGTGAAGGGCTCTGGGGACAGAGGGAGGGGAGCTCCAGGAGTGGGTAGGGTGGGGGGAATTCATGGTGCAGCCTGTGCCCGGGTGAGGGCAAGGACCGTGGGATGCTGCCTGAGCATCTCTGGCGTGGTCTCGGCCACAGGCGTTCTGGCTGACTGAGACGCAGCCCGTGGCCATGCACATGGTGACAGTGTGCTGGGTGGCTGAGAGCAGCGCAGCAGACTGGTCCTGTACCTCCTCAGGGTTACACATGTAGGTGTTGAGGCCACAGGGTGTGGGATGGTAGGCTGTGCTAGCACCCCTTGGCCCTCCCCCGCCCCCAAGCACCAATGCCAGGGTCTCTGCCCCCAGGGGGACAGTGGGCAGGAGGGGCAGATGCAGCGACTGCAGTTTCCGTGCTGGGAGCTGGGACGTGAGCTGCCCGCTGCCACCCTGCTGCCCTTCCTGGCTGCTGTGGCCCAGGGCTGCTCCCAGGACACAGAGAAGCCAGGCACACTGCTTGGCCTCTGCAGGTGCTGTTGGACAAAGGCCTGAGGGGGTGGGTGCCAGAACCCCCTTGATGCCTCTGCCAGGCCCAGCTTGTGTTTCACCACATACCTGCATACCCCAGGCCTTCCACATCCTCCCCCCAGTTACCCCCGCCAAGTCTAGGCTGATTGCAGCAAGGGTGTGGCCCAGCTGGGCACCTTTCTGCTATGGATCAGCTGCTGCAGCGGGCAGAGGCTGAGTGTACTGCGGATGTATTTAACGTGGCCTTGCAGCAGTCACAGGCCTATGGCCTCATGACCCCACGCTGGTGAGAAGCAACCAAGGGGTTCAGCCATGGTAAGAGGCATGGAAATGGGGAAGGTTCAGTGCTGGCGCCAGGCCTCTAGGGGGCACTATCCGGGCAGCCATCAGGTGGCCCTGGGGACCACGATGCTCTCAGAAGGAACCTGGGGCATGGGAGATGCCAGAGCTTTTCTCCCTCAAGTCTGGGCAGGTAGGGTAAGGGTCCTTACCCTGTGTCTCCCCCAGGAGCAGTATAATCTACCTCTGCAGCTGTCTGAACAGTGCGCCCGTGGGCGGGCTGCCCTGAGTCAGCCCTAGTCACTGCTGTGCGGGAGCAGCAGAGGCTGGGCCAGCTGGGCAGGGGCCATCAGCCCCAGCAAGCCGGCTCGGGCCTGCATTCTCTGGGAGGGCAGCCTGCACGCTGGGCTCTGCACTGTTAAGGGACAAGTAGGGGGACAAAGAACGTGGTCAAGCTTGAGGCTGAGTGTGCTCTGTCCACCTTTCAGGGAGAAAGAAATGGCCTCCAAGACTTGTGGGATGTGGGGCCCAGCCTCAGGGCCTGGTGGGCAAACGTGAGCAGGGCTGGAGCCTGGCTGAGCTGGCTGACCTGCAGGCTGTGGCTTTCCCCTGGAGCATCCCCCTACCTCCTCATCCTCCAGTCTCCCAGTTTCTTCAGACTTTCGGCTGTAGTGTTTTGGGGTACAAACAGTGGAGCCGCAGGAGGTGCAAACAGGCAGGGCAATGGAGCCAAAGCGATGGGTAAGCTGGAAGTGCGGGTCCATCCGGGAAGGCTGGGGCAGCTGGCTGTGGGTAATGGGAGCTGGTGCCAGCCTTGGAGACGCTTCTGCACGCCATGGCCCCCACTGGAGGCTTAGGGTCAATGTCTGCTGGCTTCTGTGCAGCATTTCTGGCCCTGGAATGTTATGGCTGTAGCAGAGAGCAGGAAGTGGGGTTGATGAGAGGGTCCTGGGGTATGGAGGTATGGGACTGAAGGAATACTGGCTGCCTCTCAGGTCTCCAGGCTTCTGCTGACACTCTAGAGGACCATGGGAAGAAAGGGCAAGAATGGGAAACAGCCTCGTATGTCTGTACTTGGGGCTTGGCTCAGCATGGGAGAGACCAGAGAAAGCAAACCCTACACGAAGAAAACACAGCCAGCCTCGTCTGGTCTAAAAGAGAATAGTGACTTGACCCCAGCGTCACCACCATCTGCCCAGGGGAGAGGCGCTGGGGGTGGATTCCAGCCTCAGGGAGATCGAACTGCAGTTGCAGAGCTGGCCTCCAGGTGGCGCCAGTCTGCCGACTTTCAGGTCAGGCCGGCTCTGACTACCCGCTCGCTGGGTGGCGTCCTGAGCCCAGCTGCAAAGCCAGGTCCTGGGAGCAAGGGTCCGGGGTGATCCTTAGACGTGACGGAGGCTGCATGCAAAGTACACTCAGTGGGTGGAAATGTGCACCCGCTTCTTTGGTGACAGGGCATGGCTGCCTTGTGAGAAGACCCCTCCCCACTGCCCACTCCCATCCCAGCTTGTAGCCAAATGCTTTACAGCCCGACCCCTTTCAGGACAACCTCCTGAGACCCCCAGAAGACAGAGTGACAGAACCGACCCAGTTCTGGGGCTGGCCGCCATCAGTGGGGAGAGACCCTAAACAAATAGCCTCCCTCTTGGACCGCAGTTTCCTCCTGTGAAAAATGTGGTAGAGGGGTTGGGGGGCTATGGGAATTCTTAAGGTTGTTTCCAGAGGGCCTCCCCCGAGTCCGCTATGATCCCGTCGCTGCCCCTGTAGGCAAGCGGGTCCCCAGTGCAGAAGCCTAGTCCGTGGGACATCGTTTCTGAGCAAATGCAGGTCCCTCACATGCTGGCTGTACGCACTCTCTTTGGGTCCCCCCCCCCTTTTTTTTCTTTCCTGGATGGAATTCGTGCCAGCTCGGAAGGAAGGAGGGAAGGGGAGCGAGCGGCAGCGAAGAGGTTCTCTGACTCCTCCTCCGCCGGTGCCTCCCTCCCTTGCCAAGCCCAGCCTGTGCAACTGAGTGAGAGGATCACTCCGCAATGCCTGCCCCTCTCTGACTGCACGGGCCCCGCGCTCCTGCCGCCGCCGCCACCGAGCAGAGCCTGCGGCTTGGTCCCCACCGACGGCGCAGCCGGCCGGCCAGGCCGCGGGACCCTGAGGCGAGCAGCGGCCGCCCGGCCGCCAGGTGCCGCGCAACCGGCCGCTGAGATGCGCAGCCCGCCGGGGCTCCGCGCGCTGTGGCTTTGCGCCGCGCTGTGCGCCTCCCCGTGCGCCGGCGGCGCCCCCCAGCCCGGCGCGGGGCCTGCCGCCTGCCCGGCCCCCTGCCACTGCCAGGAGGACGGCATCATGCTGTCCGCCGACTGCTCCGAGCTGGGGCTCTCGGCTGTGCCGGGGGACCTGGACCCCCTGACGGCTTTCCTGTGAGTACCGGCCCGCTAGTCCCTCCCTGCCCCTGCCCGGCCGCCCCTCGGCCCCTGCCCCGGCCTCAGTCGAGGCACCTGCCCCAGGCGTGGGCATACTGGGAGGGCTCTTCCCGGTCCAAGCGCACTGCCTGTAGGGGCCAGCGGGGAGCAAAGCCTGAGACTGAAGGTCAGAGGCGCCGTGAGGCTTGGCTGTTTTAACCTGGGTTCCCAGCTGGCCCCTGCCTGGTGATCGCACCACAGGAAGCCCAGGCTGGGAGGGGCGGGTCTCTGACCCCGAGCCGGAGGGGCCCGGCCTGGGCTGCGCTCCTCTTCTTGCTGTTTTCCTCTCCAGCGGAGCAGTGCCCGGGGCTGCCTGTGCTGGGGTGGAGAGGTGGCCCATCCCTCTGCCGCGGTGAGGAGACTAAAGCTGTCATGCTGAGGCTGTGTGGCCTTGGTGGGGGCCCCCAGAAGCTGGGAGAGGGGTCTCCTCTCGTCTGTTCCAAAGGGGCCCTGCCAGCACCGTCTCCCTTCTGTGAGGCCTCCTGGCACCCCCAGGGGCCTCCCTGGAGTCATGTCCTAACGGGCCGTGTTGGAGACACTAATTTGTGGGTAGGCACTGAGGCAGAAAGCCAGAGAACCATTTTTGGAGCTGAGTCGGGGTGAGATGGCACGTGACGGGGACCCTTTTGGGGGCAGCTGTCCCGCTTCCCCTAAGAGGCTGGGAACCGGGGTTGATGCCTGCAGACTCCCTGGCCCAGAGGAGGTGGGGAGCACATCACTGCTCCGGGGCATGGAAACCTCCGAGGCTCGGCCCTGCCCAGGCTCCATCGCCTTTTCCCAGAGGAGAGCAGTGGGGAGAGGCTGGGGCCATCGGGGCCAGGGACAGGATCCCCGAGCTCTATCACTTTGTGGCTCAGGACCTGGAAGCTCTGAGGAAGAGGAGTGCGGTAGTTTTCACAGGAGTCTGGCAAGTGTTTGTCGAACTAAACAGACGAGGGTGCTCGATGCTGGTGGTACGCCGGCGCCGTGTGGTGGTCCCGAGCTGCATCCTCCCTGGCGCTCCCATCCCAGTCTTTCTGTCCTTAGTTGCGATGTCCCTTTCCACCCCATGAAGCGAAGTCTGGGGGCCAGGGGAGGGAGTGAGAGGGAGAAAATGATGTCCATATTCTAGAAGGACAAATTGAGTCCTTCATAGTCCAGGGGGTGAATGCTGGGAGGTGAGCCCCGGGGGGCTGTAAGGGTGCCCCGCTGCTGGGAGATGAGGGCTGGCTCTGGCCCTCATGCTTGCTACACCCAGGGCAGCCCCCCTTTTAACCATTTTATATACTGGGGATATATGACGTTCTTCTATGTAAAGACAGGGTTCTGTGGCTAAAAGAGCTTGGAAATGGTTTCTGTAGAGCCTTTCTCTGGGGAAGCCAAAGGTCCCTTTCCCAGGTTGGGAGCGCAGGGGGGACAGGCCTGCTGGAGCTTGACTGATGCAGCCTCCTTTCCCAGCACCTGTCTTCCCAGACCGCTCACCTCTCTGGCAGGACTCAGGGAGAGAGGTCCAGTGCCGCCTTGGAATCCAGGGATCCCACCTTCCATGCGGATGGGAGATTTCCCACCATGCCCGGCACAATGTCTCCAGAGCAGTGAAGTCTGCATTGGGGTGGGATGTCCTGAGCTGTCTTGTGTCGCCATGGGGACTGAGAAAACCCCTCTCTTCCAAGGCTCAGAGTGTGTTTCTGAGAGTGGGAGAGGGGGAGGGACTGAGCAGGGGGCTGGAAGCAATGTGGGAATTTTAGCTGTGGGCTCTGGCAGTGTGGAGGGAGGTGGGGGAGGACCACGCCCCTGCCTTGGGCAGTGAAGGGTCCCATCTGGTGGGAGTAGGGGTCTCTGCTGAGGGTGGCTTAGGGAGGCTTCTCTTCTGCTCCTCAGGAGAGCAACCTAGTCACAAACCCAGAGAAGGTGGAGAGCACATGAGGGTCCTCTCTGAGAAGGGCACCTCTCCTCCTCAGCCATGTCAGGAGGTGCCCGGTCCGGCCCCTCCCCCAGGAAGCCCAGCTCTGGCTGAGGACGGTGCAGCTTCGCTCCTGATGATAGGGTCAGCAGCACCCCTCTGTCTGGGCCACCCAAACCCCGGTTCCTTCCTAGCTCTGCCATCTGCTGAGGGTCATGCTAAGCCTCAGGTTTGTCATTTGTATGTGGAGAGAAGTGGGTGGCTGGAGGACTCAGTGAGATAGTATGTCTGTATAAAGTACCCAGCACAGTGCCTGACACACAGGGAGTGACATAACTAGGGGCTGTTATTTTCATGCCTCCTTGGGTTTCAGGGTGTGCTGGAAGTAAGCTCCTAGGACCCTTCACACAGGAGGAAATTGAGCCCCGGGTGAATGCCAGACTCAAGGGAATGGTCTGCGGCGGGAGCAGCAGAGGTGTGTTCTAGAGAGTTATCTGCGAAGTGCTGGTCTTGGTCAATGCTTGGCTGTTCTGCAGGTTTGGGGTTCAACTAGTTGGTGAACACTGGGACAGGGTGGACGGGGAGTGGACATTTAAGTCTTCCTGGCACAGGGTGGAGGTAAAAGGTGAGATTAAAACACTTGGATGTGCAGGAAGATCCTTAGAAGCGGCCACAGATTGGACCATAGGAGGCACCAAGAAACTAGGGGTTCCGGAAGGTACCTGTGTCCTTGAGCCCACACCAGTGAAGACCACTTCACCTGCTTCCCCGTCCCAGAGGGATAAGCACCCCTTTTTCTCGCTGATACATTCCATGGAGCGCACGCCTGGACTCCCTCCTTCTCGGCTCTCGGGAAGGTCAGGAAGTCTTCTTTATACCCAGCTGCTCTCCTTTGCTTTGATGCTCAAGTCCCAAAGTGGTGCCCACTCTGGGCTTGAGGCCAGCCCTCTCTCATCAAGGTTGGGAGGAGAGACTGGCCATCCCGCAGTCTTTCAGCTTCTCTCATTTTTAACTCTTCTCCCAAACTGTGATCTCAGGGAGGCTCGGTGAGGCTCACCGGGATTGGACCCTCTCCCTGGGTAGGGCCGAGCGGGGCACGCGGCACAGTCTGGTGGTGATGTGAGGGCATGACACCCCTTGCTCTCTTCCATCCCACACCTGCACAGTGTACAGACAGCAAATGCTTGTTGCCAGAATACCCACATTAGCCCTGAGTAGGATACCCGAGAGCCGCATGGTATCAGGAAGCCTGTGGCGGGGGAACCTCTGTCCTGGGCGGCTAGTTGTGAAGGGCTGAGGCTCCTACCGCACAGTGTCCCCTGAGTGCTCTGTCACCCACTGCCAGGGGGCCAAGGGAGGGGCCGACCTTCCATGCAGCCCCAGGCAGACTGTTTATTGCCTTCCTTCAAGACTGCGGATGATAAGCATCCAACTTGCCTGAAAGGTCGGATGATATGTGTGTAGGTATGGATTCTGGTCACCCACACCCTCTCATCACTGCCTGGGGATGGAAGCCGGGGGCTGGGGCTGGGGGTGGCAGAGGGGTTAAGAGCATGGACCTTGGCCACGACAGTGCAGTGTCTGTGTGAGAGCTAGTTCACCAGCTGTGTGTGCCCGGGCCGGCTGACTCACCCTCTGTGACTTAGTTTCCTCATCTGGAGCTGGTCCCTACTCGATAGGCTGGTGTGTGGATTCACTGAGGGGGTGTTTGTGTAGGGTTTGGCATAGTGTCTGGCCCGTGGGAAGAGCCCAATCAGTATTAGCCAGTGGTGTTATTAGGGTGAACAGGGCCAAGAAGTGTTAGTCATGGAAGTCTTCCTGGAAGAGGAAATCCTGGAGCTAACATTGGGAGAAGAGGAGGAACATTGTTCCATGAAAGGTGGGGAGTAGGTGTGTGTGCGTGTGTGTGTGGGAAGGCTATGAGAGGGAAGAGTGACGTGTGTGCATGTGTGTGTGAGCATGTGTAAGTGTGTGTATGTGAGCGTGTGAGTGTGAGTGAGTGTGTGTGGAAGGCCGTGAGGGAAGAGAATGACTAGCAAGGAGACAGGAGGAGCTGCCCCCGGAACTGAGAAGCTTTGCTTTTCTCCTGCAGGGCAGCCTTAGAGCTTCATGGATGGCGGGGGACCCACAGACGGCCGCCCCCCGCCTGCTCCCCGACGTGCTTAGGTGGGCCTTGCAGGGCCTGTTCTATGAAGAAGCAGAGGGATGTGCCACCCCAGTGGGGGAGCCGGCCTCGGGGGTCCTGGACCTGGGGTTCAGTGTGTCAGGTTCATATCTCACTACTTCCTGGGCCAGGGCTCAGTTCCCTGTCCTAGGAGGTTCTAAGAGCCTGAGCTGCGCCCCCCACCCCAACCCATCCCCAGAAACTTGGGATTTGTGAGCTCTGATCCTCAGCCCCTGGGCTGCTGCAGTGCAAATCCCAAAACTTCTCTGGACCTTGATGTCCACGCCTATTGAAATATGAACAAGTGGAGTGGGGAAGGCCCAGGAAAGCAGCTCTGAGCCTCATTTCCTGGTGCAGGACGGAGAGGGCCAGGGGAGAACGGCTTGGTGGAGGTGTGCAGTGGGGAAGGGACAGGCAGCACCCAGACGCAGGCAGAGAGGAGGAGGGCAAAGGGGGGGCGATGCCAGGAGTGGGGCTCTCCGGGGACCTCTGGTGCCAGCCTCAGTCCAAAGCAGAGCCTGGGGTGAGGGGCCCATCAGAAGGCAGAGCCGGGGGGTCGCCAGAGAAGGGTGAGTGTGTGCGGGAGCCGACACCCCAGTTCAAAGGGAAGGCAGGAAACGGCCCTAGGCAGAAGAAAAAGGAAACCTCTCAGCTCTGGCAGCAGTGGGCACGGGGTGCGGCCGGGTGGGGCAGCTGGTGGAGGAGAAGAAAGGCCGGCTCAGAGCAGAGTTGGCCCCCAGCCCGCCCCCACTCCTCCCGCCTTCCCCCATTTCATGGGCTCCAACCAACACCCCAAGCCAAGAGGGCCCCACCACGCGCCCCAGCCCACTTCCCGCACTGACTTGTGCCCACCTGGGCACAAGCCTGCCGGGCGCAGGAGACGGTGCCTGAGGGGGGCCCTGCGGGGCGTCACGGGCTCTGGCTCTGCAGTCCACTGCGATGGGCTCCCGCCTCAGCTCCACCGTTGGGAGCTGTGCATCTTTGGGGCATCACTTAACCACCCCAGAGCTTCATTCCTTCGCCTTGACAATGGAAACACGTTGGCCCTAACTTGGAAGGGTGGTGGGGAGGAGCGAATGGGGGACAAAGAGGGCAAAACAAATACCTGCTTTAAAACGCTGATGATTAATAATTGTTTTTCTCAACCTCTTGAGCTACAAATGATCCGCTGAGGCCCAGAATGGGAGGAACCGCGGCCTGTGACAGGGTGGGGAGTGGAGGTGCCAGATGTGAGCTTCTAGAGTCTCACCAGGTTGCCCTTCTTGCCCACCTTCCTCTATTCCTTCTTCCTTATTAATAGAGCCTGTCCACCAGCTTCTTGCTCCTGGGCTCCTGGCCGGGGGTGAGGAGGACGCGGTCCCCTTCCCCGGGGCGCCTGAGGGGAGACGCACCAACAAGGAAGCCTAGGCTTCCTGGTCACTGCTAACCGGGTACTCCTGCTGCTCCGCAGAAGTGGAGTTCCGTGGAGTCGGTCTTCTGGGCTCCAGCCCGAGGCGAGGCAGGCGTGGACCGGTACTTAGGAATGCCTCTCCATTTCTGCCCTGGGATGTGCCGTCAGCGGCCCGCGAGGATCCTCCTCTGAGCTTATCCCCAGCGGGCTGTGTGACCTCAGGCTTGCAGCCTATCCCACTGGTCGCAGGCCCGGGGAGAGGAGCCCTGATGGGACTCCGTACCTGGGAAGCGATGGAGATGGGTGGGAGAAATTCCCAACCCTTTTCTCCTCCCCCATCTTGGAAATGACAACTTCTTCTGCCCAAACTGAAATGGACTCACTAACTCAGGGGTTCTCAGAATTGTGGGAGCCCTTTTGTACCATCTGGTCCTTTGGTAAGAAATGGGGGTGGTCCCCAGTTTCTACCAACAATTCGTGTCTCTCCTCTCTTCCTCACTAGACATGGGAGAATAGGTCTGAGAAGGAGAAAAACACCCAAGAGGCCAAACTTGGGCAGCGAGCAGAGAGTTATTTTGGAAGCAGCAAAAGGACATGGTGGGGGCGAGAGCTGAGGGGTTGGCACTGCGCCCCCCGGAGCCATGCCAGAGCAGGCCATGGGCGGGCTGGCGGCAGGCAGGTGGGGGCTGGGGCTGGCTGCGCAGCCACCGGGCACCTCCAGGGCGGAGTTTCCCTTCATTCCCTGTTCCAGGCTTTCTCATGCCCCCACTCCCTTATTCCTCCCCCAGGACCGGTAAGGAAGCCTGTACCTCAAGTTCTTCCCAGCTCTGGGGGGTCGACGGTGAGCCGCAGAATCTGAGGCTGGGGTCAGGGAAGTGCCTTAGGCCCGGCTCTCAGCTCCCCCTGTTGGCCCTGTCCCACGGTGGGAATGTCTTCCTGATTGAAGTTTTCATTCCCTGGACTGTGACCTTTCTTCCAGGGTGACACGACCTTGTTAGGAAGGTCCATTCTTGGGACCCAGCAAGCCTGACCCCAGACAGGCCCACACAGATGTATCTAGGAACTTGCCATTGTGCTGGTGTCTTTGCCTTAACCAGTAATGGCGACAGCCAGCATTTATTGCATTTATTTAAGCATTTTGCCTGCATCACCTCATCTAAACCCTGTGGAGAGGTACTAGTGTTACCCCCATCTTACAGATGAAGAAACTGAGGCTTTAGATGTTCAGGAGCTTGCTTACGGCCACCAGCCAGCAACTGCTGGGGCTGTAATCCTGACTTTCCTGACCACGGTGCTGTCCCGCTTCTCGGGGGACATGGCTGCAGGCTTCCTGAGCCCTAAGGGGACGGACAAGTCTCTGGGAGTGTCACACTCCCAGCAGCCCCTCAAAGCCAATTTCCAGTTTCCTGGCTCTCTTGGAAAGAATCATGGTCTTCCCTGTTCCCCTTCTATCTGCCAGCAGCTATGTCTGGGAGCCCCTCCAGGGGGGCTGCTTGAAGAGGAAGGTGCTGGGTCTTCTGGGGGGGCAGTCAGGGCGGCATGGTGATAGTTATGTCAGGGGGACAGGAAGCAGGCTCACTGCACCCATGGTCCTGGGGAGTGTGTCCCAAGAACCATCAGTGAGGTCAGGGTGCTCAGAGGAGGGGCTGCTGGGCTGCTCCAGGAAGGCCCTGGCAGGGAGGAGAGGCCTGTCCCTGGTCCTGCAGGACCAGGGGGGTTCAGGCGAGGAGCAGGCGGGGAAGGCCCTCTAGGGAATGGGAAGCATGAGCCTGGCGACAGAGTGAGCAGCATGCTGGGGCTCTGCTACTTCACCCACAGCCTTTTCTGCCCACTCCACGAGGCAGGATATTCCAGAGCAGAAAATTCTGCCTTTTCCTCCTCAGAGCACACAGTAAAAAAAAAAAAAGAATTCAAGGTGTTCAGCAACTGGGGTAAATCCACAAGCTGCTCCCCACCAAAGGTGTCCAGCCCAGTCCAGGCAGCATCCGGGCCCCTGGGGCTGAGGAGACCCCTCTCTGCATACCTGGAAGCCCTTTGTGCAGCAGCCTGTGTCTGCAGCCTGCCTGGCTGAAGTCTGGACTCCAGCACTCACCTGCTGATGGTCCTGCATGTTTCCCCACCTCTCTCAGCCTCCATTTCCCTAGCTTCAAAATGGGTGTAAAAATATGAAGCTCTTTGAAAGGTGTTTGTGATTTTGCACAGTATAGCAAACACCCAGTACATGTTGTTATTGCCCACTCCCCTGCTGCCAAGGGAGAGAAGCACTTGGAAGGAGAAACTGAGGCAGGCACAAAGTATCCCTGTGTCTCCCTTATATGCCAACCCAGGGCTTTGCTGGGAGGAAGACGGGGGGGTTGGTTCTAAACACAGTTCCCCTCACGCTCTCTCCCCACTGCTGGCCTGTCCCCTTTGGCCTTGAAGGTGCTGGAGGAGGTGGGGGTGTCCCTGAGAGTGTCCAGACGGGCAGATGGGAGGAGGGTGCTGAGTGCCTTCCATTGCACGTGTCACGGAGTTGGACGTGGTCCCCAGGCTCAGAGCCAAGGCGGATGGACTGAAGGAGGGGGAAGAGGGGAGAGTCATGGTGCAAAGCACATGCCATCACTGTCACTCACCCAATCCAATCGTAGGGTCACTGCAGGGCAGGAAGGGGTGCTCTCTTAGGTGGCCTATGGGGGACCAAGTATGTTGAGGCTTCTTCCAACTCCCTGGGTGACAGCACATTTGAGTTGTCCCTCACCTGAGTAGCCATCGGTTCCTGGAGACAGGCCGAAGGCAGCAGTCACTAAGGGGCTTTTAACACCTCCTCTAAGAAGGAAGACTTCCCAGCTTGACCCCGTCTAAGGATTCGTTTCTCCAGGTGTCAGGGCCTCTCCCAGTTTGCGTCGTGTTCCTTTGCAAAAAAGACAGTGGAATTCACTAGGGATGGCTAGTGTAGCGTGCTGAAGCCCCAGGGCTGTCAGTCACTGCCTGGGTCAGCACAATGCCTCTTCCCCAACTCGAGCTGCAGTGCCCCTCCCCTTTGTTAATTCAGTGGTAATGCCGCTTGCACCACCAGCTATTGCGGGGAGTAAACATTCATTCGATCACTTACCATTCATTTAACAGACGTGGACTGAATGTCTGCTACCTGCCAGGCCACTGTGGGAAAGGCTTTCTCATGCATCCGCCCTGTGAGACCCGTACTGTTGTTACTCCCTCTTTCAGGGGGGTGCACTCCGAAGTCTGGAGGGAAGCCTGGGGGGCTCGGAGCCCATGCTTTTTCCTCTGCCTTGGGGGTGCAGAGCGGAAGATGAGCATGCAAATAACTATGACACATTGCAGGGAGTGAGAGGAGCGCCAGGCAGGTCCTGATAAGACGCAGCGGGCAGGGGCGCGGAGGAAGGAGAGCTCATGCCTAAGTGATAGACCAACGCAGAAACCCCTGGAGAGGCAGTTGCGGTGCAAGGAAAAAACCACAGGACTGGGCATTGCAAGCCCCAGGTTGCCGCTCGTTTGCAAGGCATGGCCACCATCTCTCCCTGATGAATCGGTTGCATTCGGCAAGGCTCTGCTTGGGAGAGCGCTTAGCACCGCCCTGGGGAAGTGGCAGGCAGTACTGCGTATCTTACCGCTGGAC